AGTAACAACAGTGAGTACCAGTGAATTGGGCATTGGATTTGATCTGACAGTTTTTTGACATCTGCTCTGACCTCTGTTCGTGCTCTGGTCAGGACCTTCTTTGAACCCAAAGGCTGTTTTAAAGGCTCTTTTAAAACACAATAACCAACAGTTTTTTGACAGGAGGTAAGTCTGGTCCTCCTGTGTAATGCCGGATCAACAGCACAGTTCAGATTGCTCCAAACAGGAAAGACAGCATAAACTTTATAGTGATCAGATTACTGATAATTGATGATTGAATGTAGTGTTTCCCAATCAGGGGTACACTGACCCCTAAGGATACGCACAAAAGGGTTGTTTATCTTGTAAAAGTTGATAATTACTTTGAAGAAGTTTTTATGTCATGAGATGTTATTTATTTAAGGCTATTTCAACCAATAAAACAACCGTATACTGTATTCATTATAAACATTGAACCCCATTCCCACTGATGTCTGATGTCGATGTATCCTTGGGAAGGACACTTAACCCCACTTTGCCTGAAGCCCCCGCTGAAAGATCAGATGTGGACTCACCACCTGCAGGAGGATCAGTGAGGGGCTGGTGCTAAGTGTACTGGGTGCAGCTCTGAGAAAATTACATTCAGAGAGCCGTTGATAAATGGGAAACCATACCAAGTGTCTATTTAGCATTAAAGGGGTCACCTTCTGTGCTCTTGAGTGCCTAAGTTTTAACAGTTTGCTGTATGTTATTTTGTTTTTACTGCTTGGGAGATTTAAAAAAGCCTTCAGAAATACGAGGTGTTTATGTCTTGGCATCTTTCTGTTCCATGTCTCAACTGTCACCCCACAAGTTTACAGCTAAATACAGTCTCGGCTTCTCCATTTCAGTTTTTGTCCATAAATATTGAAAACTGCTTCTTTCCCAACCTTGGCATTTAGGTTTTAGTGGCAGATTGTTGCTTCTGTTGGCTCAGTCTGAAGTGGTCATTGGGAAAAGCAAACATTTATCCACATTGTCCAAGACTAGATTTACTGTAAATTCTTTGATTTGATCACTGCCTCATTCCCAGTGAGGCCCCAAAGGTATTGCCAAACAGTCAAATTTCACCTTGTGTTTATGCGTCTGAGGTTTCCCCCCTCTTCACCCTTCGCCCCACTTTCCAAATATAAGCTCTTTTTTTTTAGTTTAGAAGTTGAGCTGTCGCCTGATCGCCAAACAGTACTTCACATTTGCTCTAGCTCCTAACTCAGGAGAGCAAATTCATCCGTTGGTGGGAAAAAAATTGCCTTTGACTGTTCTGTCTGGCTTAAAAAAAAGTTTGATTAGGGCAAAAGTACATGACTTAGTGACAGATAACATGATAATGACGTACAATCCTTGAATGGCTCGCCCACAGGGGAGTGAAAAGTAGATTGTGTTGTGCTTCAAGAATACAAGGCTATTACTGTTTGACTTTTATTGTGTCTTGGTGATCTCTCCGCTGTTGGCTGGTGCTTTGTTCTTAATGGAAAACCATGATGCACCATTTGAACCCTTTAGGTCTGTTGTTCTAACTTTAGAGGAGATACATCTAACGCAGTATGAGTATTTTGTTTTCTTTTGATTCCAGGACTGGGAGTGTGTGAACTTTTTTCCCAGTTATCTACAGCAGATGTGCAGATTTGGTGGTTGAGTTGAGGCTGTAACTGGACGTGTGTGTGTGTGTGTGTGTGTGTGTGTGTCTTGTATGTGTATGTGTATGTTTTTGAAAATAAAATAAAAAAAAATTGAAAATATAATCTACAAAATAATCAGTGAAATCTCAGCCTATTATCAGTGTTTCACAGCACTTCAAAATTTAGTGTCAAAGTCTGCAACTGCCCTCTTTGTTGATCCTAGCCTACATGGGAATAAACAGGTGGCTTAGTTTGGTACGTGAGGAAGAGGAAAGGTCAAAAGGTTGCTAATCTCTCCCTTTGAGGTGAAATGCAATGCTTACAATTTAATAAAACCGTCACCTCCATTGATATCGCTATAGGCTCATGCTGTAAGAGTGGGCTTAGTAACGTGGGACAAGGCTACTACAATATACAGTATTTTGTAAACAGAATGTATGAACATGGTGTGCACATTCTTTCACACATTCTGGATGGTCTATGAAGATAAATGGCAGCAGTAGCAATCACATTAGAGCGAAGTGAAAGATGAGTGCAGATTAGGAATAGTCTTCAGAGACTTGGGAAGATTATGACCCATGATGAGATAGAGGAAGAGGTGACTGTTACCATCTGCTGTGCTGGACATTTCACACTGAACCCGCACACATGTACACAAAGCTGGGAGATCTCGGAAAAGAATGGGTCACTTTTTTCCCTAATTTGACCAATTTTAGCGTTGAATTTACTAATTTATAATATGCATATTTTAAACCAAAAATTTGAAAGGTGTTCAAAGAGATATACTTCCTATCCCTGGCTCAACCCCTTACACTGCTCTTACCACATAATTTGTGAATGCTTATTTAAAGGCCAAGGTGACAGATTGGACAAATTTGAGATTGTTAGTTTTTACAAGTCACATGTTGGAGCAGTATGTAGAAATCTGGCCAAAAGTGGTACTGCATTCTCCCTGACTCGGGTTGCCAGATATGCAAGCAAATCCAGCTGGGACCATAATATCTGAATAAAGAGGTTTGTCAACAACAAATCCATAACCAACATCTTTTTCACAAAGATAAAGATCCTTTTTGTCTTCCATGTTTGGTCGTTAATGATTTGAGAATTGTAATGAGACCTTTTTTAGTGCTGTGGCCACATGTTACTTTACCACTGAGATTAGCTTGACACAGTGAGTTCTGGCAGCCCGGATTACAGGCTTTCTGATTTGTGAAACGGTGGAGGACGGGACATTGAAATGAAAATGAAAACAAGATTTAGGGGATGTAAAACTAATGTGGAAATCCAAATATTTGTTTGTAAAAAATTTCCCCTCGATTTCACTTGAATTTGTAAGGGAGTTGGATCAGTGTCAACCAATACATCCATGGTGTCAACATGTGTTGCCAGTGTGTATCCAAGCACTAACCTTGCCTGCAAGCTGAATTCTCGCGGTATTTGTGAGTTCACAAACACTCGAGAATATATCGCGGAGAACGCGTTAGAGTTCTACACAATCATCAATCTGGCTTTTGCCAGGTTATCCAAGCACACTAATTCTTTAGATTTTTTGCACTGGCTGCTGACGTTGTAGCTGCACGGGTCTAACAGAGTGGTTTGGTGGCAGCAGATGTAACATTGCTGGTTTTTTTGGGGCTCTGAGGCTACATCCTTAAAAGTGCTTACCCAGGGCCATGTGATCTGTGCATCTGAGTGCGCTGCTACACTGGGGAAATTCAAGTCGCACACGTTTCTAAGCAGAGACTGAATTTGAGTCCCAGCGGATTTACAAGCTTTGTTTAGCTGTGTACAGACCAGCATGTGTAAAGAAACACAAATAATTAATCATGATGGACACACTGACAATATAATTTCAGATTCATGCTTGTTGTCATATAAAGAACACTATTGTTGTAACCCAAGAAATTAAGTTTTTTCAAACCAACTACTTTATAACAAATGTATGAGTGACCACCTGCATGTGAAAGCCAGATTGTGTTACACCTTTAGGCAAGACACTTCACCCACATTGTCTAGTATGAGTCTGAAGCATGTGTTATTGGTTGGTTGTGGGCAGAGGGTAGGGGTTGGCGATATGGGCAAAGATAAATGTATTTTCTTTTTCAACTCCTGATAACAATATTTTTAGAGTATCTTTAAAATCAATCATTTTTACACACAATTTTGCCAGGCCATCTATAGAGAGTCTAGATCTAAATAGATCTACATTTTTATTTTTAAAGTGCTTCACACATCTTTGCAAAATATGCACATCTATTCATCCATTTTGTACCCCTTAATCCATTTCTGGGTTGGGGGGTGGCCACAGATGCCACCCATTACACATAGCACCAGCTCCTTACTGATCCTCTTGCAGAGTGGTGAGTCCACAGGAGGATGGCCGCTCTATGGCATAGCCTTGATCTTTCACACAGAGATTAAAATTAAAAGTCAAATCAAACACGGGAAGAACACATCCAAAAAGGGTCGCTCAATATTTACTCAAATGTACTAATAAAGCAGTGATTGGCTTTTTAGGCTCGCATTTGACTAATGGGCATCTTGCCTGCTCTAATTGTAATATGTATTGGAGATATGTAAAAAACAATATATTAAAACATATATAGATTTTTAAAAATTGACGATAATGCGAAAACGCATATCTTCAAATTCACTTTCACGTTATTATCGTCTACGATATATATTGCCCACCCCTAACGGAGGTTGCATCGCTTCTGTCAGTCTGCCCCAGGGTAGCGGTTGCTACTGTTTAGTAAGTAGTAAGAAATCATTGTCTATATTAAAGCCTTTCATAGACCAGAGTCACAAAGTGCTTTACAGTTGTTGTTTGCTTGCTCTCTGTGAAAGAATAACACCATGTGAAGTGTCTTGAGTGTCCAAAAAGCGCTATATAAAACTGAAGAATGATTATTATTATCCATGTTCTCCATTTTCCTCCGCTTTATCCGATGCCATGTTGTGGGGGCAGCAGTCTAAGCGGAGACGCCTAGACTTTCAATATCCATACACACCTCATCTGGATTCGGGGAAATCCCGAAGCGTTCACAGTCCAGCCGAGAGAGTGTCCTGCTCTTCCCCCTCCCGGAGGGCATGTCCCACCTGGTGTATTATTATTGCTTTTAGTTATATTTGTTATATTCTTATCTATTGAGATTTCCTGCGGTTGCTTCACTTCAGCTTTATTTGCCATATTAGGATAGTTGCTTGTTCACTCAATTCTCTCAGTGAAAAGAAAATTGGTCTTTTTAAGTAATTGTTTTAGAATGAATTAGTATCTTGTGTTTTCACTGTTTTTCACTTTTGATTTTTTTGCCAACCCCAGTTCTAATGTTGGAACTCATCATTGTTGCTTCTGTGCTGCAGGTGTTACTGGTGAGTAGCAGTCGGCATCCGGACCAGTGGATCGTTCCTGGAGGAGGGATGGAGCCGGAGGAAGAGCCCTGTGGAGCCGCAGTCAGAGAAGTGTTCGAGGAGGTAACTCGGTTTACTAATGGCTGCTTTACGACTGAAAAATATGACCCTTTTTATTCTGACTGTCAAGAGATAAGGCATGTGTTTATTAATGATACTGAAGCCTGTGAAGTCAAAATGATGTGTTTATTAGTCAGACAGGGTGTTCCAGATTCTCTAACCTTTAAAAACATATCTGGTGCCTCATAACAGAAGCCTCAGCTACTGCGTGAACAATAAATACAAGTAAAATAATATTTAAAAATAAGCCAATTTCTTCAATAGATTTTTTTGCATTAGCATAATTTCCGATGCTAATGAATAAAATGTATTTATTCATCAAAGTGTATCTTCCAAGTGCTTGTGGTAATGGCCTTAGCACAGCCTCTCATGAATGTACTGGAGCTATTTTGAGTATGCTGCTAAAATCATTATAGGGAACAGTTATGAGATGAGTGTGGGCTCTTATGTAAACGTGGTCAGAGTGAAAGGTGCCCTTCCATGACCAAAAGACCGGGTCAGTGCTGCTGAACAAAGCTTTCCATGTTCTTGGGCAACAATTGAGCTTATTTTGTCATTAGAATATTTTTTAACAAAATTGGTAAATACAGTGAGAACACAATCTTTCTTTTATCTTCTCAGTTGCAGTATCCAAATTACATTTAGTTCAATGTTGACTTTAGAGTTTCAAATGGACATTTTATGAGTGTAATTTCATAGCACTTTATAAAAAACATTATAATTAAAAAATCAACATGCATATTTAATATATATTATCTGGACAATGCTAACTTCTTAGCTCAATGAAGCCCAATAAGGAAGCTCTCTACTTCCCATGTTCACATAGTTAACCTGGATGGGATATAATGTAATTAAATGGACAGTATTGAGACCTATGCAATTTGAGTATGTGTGTGTCTCTAAAACGCAAACCTTTATAACTGGTATAAACTAAATACAATTTATCAATGTGGAGCATTTGAGGCCAATCTTTTCAGTGGAGACGTAAACAAAAAAACATTACAAGCCATCCAGCCATCCATCCATTCATTTTCTTCGCTTCATCCGTTGCCGGGTCGCGGGGCAGCAGTCTAAGCAGAGACGCCCAAACTTCCCCAATCCACACACACCTCCTCCAGCTCGTCCGGGGGGACCCCAAGGTGTTCCCAGGCCAGCTGAGAGACATAGTCCCTCCAGCGTGTCCTAGGTCTTCCCCGGGGTCTCCTTCCGATGGGACGTGCCCGGAACACCTCCCCAGGGAGGCGTCCAGGAGGCATCCTGAACAGATGCCAGACCCACCTCAACTGGTTCCTCTTGACGTGGAGAAGCAGCGGCTCTACTCCGAGCTCCTCCCGTGTGACTGAGCTCCTATCCCTATCTCTAAGGGAGCGCCCAGTCACTCTGCGGAGGAAGCTCATTTCGACCGCTTGTATCCGCGATCTCGTTCTTTCGGTCATTACCCAAAGCTCATGACCATAGGTGAGGGAGGGAACGAAGATTGACCGGTAAATCAAGAGCTTTGCCTTTCGGCTCAGCTCCCTCTTCACCACAACGGTCCGATACAGCGACCGCATCCCTGCGCACGCTGAACCGATCCGCCTGTCAATCTCACGCTCCATCCTTCCCTCACTCGTGAACAAGACCCCGAGATACTTGAACTCCTCCACTTGAGGAAGGACCACTTCACCCATCTGTAGAGGGCAAGGCACCTTTTTCTGGTCTAGCACCATGGCCATGGATTTGGAGGTGCTGATTCTCATCCCAGCCGCTTCACACTCGGCTGTGAACCGTCACAGTATGCGCATCTATTATTACAAGAACTTGTAATAATGTGTATAACTCCATTTGCATTTTTAATTGAATTAGGTTAGGTTAAGAAACGTTAATAAAGTGAGGAATTGTTAGTTACAAAATGTACACCTGTTTACGTTTTTCCATGACTTGAAGATGCACTGTGTAGTTTTTACTCTAGCATTGAGATCATATATTGTAATTTACAGTTCTATGTTAGCTTTGCACTGTCTTTGACAGTGGTCCCCAACTGTCAAATTAAATTACTGTGAAAAAGAGATTCCTCCAGTCCATAGTATAAATGAATCTAATCACAAAAACCAAAACAAATTGTAAAACAACAATAAATCTGTCTAGTTTGTAATGAAACTAGTTTCTCGCTCTTGGGGCGACAGTGGCACTGTTGGAAGATCATTGGCCTTTGAGCCTAACGTCACGGGTTCGAGCCCACCACGAGACCTTCTCCACCGACTCCTCTGTTGTCGTTGTGTCCTTGGGCAAGACACTTAACCCACTTTGCCTATGAGGAGCACGGAAGTAATGTTCGCTGCATGCCTTGATGTGTATATGTGTAATCATCAAACTGAAATATCCCCACTGTGCGACAAATAAAAGAATAAAAGACAAATAGAGAAAGTTCTCAAAACATTTTTTTTTTTTTACCTTTTTCAGATAGGAAAGTGAAAAATAAAGGACCCCCCCCTCACTCAACCAATGAGCTCTCAGTGTGCAAAAGATTTACATGTATTATAATAAAACAAAGGCAAACGAAATGAGCTTGAGCTTTAATCCTGGGCATAATTCTCCAAACATGCTTGTAATTTCGCTAGCACAGGTTCTTTTTGTCCAGTTGTCTTGTGCCGTTTATCACGCCTCTATCATGAGCCTTCTGCGTGGTCCTCACCCAGCCAGCAGCATGCCCCCCCCTCCCCCAAGGCGACATGTTTAAAGGTTACGCGAATGGGCCGGTATTCACACCCCCTTCTTCCCCGGGACCCTGTGTTCTACTGGGGGTACGTCACTGGAGCAAACTTGGCCCCACACCAGGGCGTCTTGACACCTGTGAAGTATGCTGAGGCGACATGGAAAGTGATAGGACGAGTGCCATGTGTCGGTGCCGTAATTGAACCCGGCTCTTGTGAAACTATCGTACCAAAAACATTTGTCTTCAGGATCCACGCCAATATTTTTATAACTTAAGCATTATGTCCAATCACACTGGATCACACGTATTTTCACATAGGGAGTGATGTTCACGCCTTAAGGAGGAGATGGCAGAGGCAATGTTGTGTCCTTGGGCACAACAAGACATCCAGATTACCCACGTTTACGGTATACGTAGCTGTACACCTACAAGAAAAGAATGACGAGTAAATGTTTCACTTATTCATTCAAGTAAATAATACAGGATGCCAAAATTATTCATAATTTTAGTTTCACTTCACAGAAGCCTGATACTTTCTTGTGGTATTTTTGGGGTTTTAAAAAAAAACCAAAAAAAACCAAAGTTTATATGTATAGAGACTTTCACAGACCAGGATCACAAAGCGCTTTAAAAACATACAGATATAAATATAAAACATACAAGTCAGATTTAAAAACAAACACACAGACGGTCCTCATCATGAACACAGTTCACAGAGGCCTATGTACAGTGAGGAGAGAAAGCCTGACTAAACAAATTCGTCTTAAGTTGGGACTTGAAATCATCAACAGACTCTCACATGCGCAGAGACTGGGGAAGTTCATTCCAAAGGTGAGGAGCAACTGCCTGGAAGGATCTGTCTCCCCGGGTTTTGTTTGCGTGGGACCATCAACAGGGTCTGAGTGGAGGACCTCATGCTCCTGTTGTAGACATTAGTCGCGTTTCCACCGCAGGAACTTCGGGGTAATTTTCCAGAACCAGCCCCGCTGGTGCGTGTCTCCACCGCAGGAACTTCCCTCACAGGACCATTTACAGGAACTTTTATGGGAACCAACGAAGTCCCTCCACCATGCTAAAGCTAGAGCAGGCTCTGACGCCAGCAGAAAGAAGCAAAACGACAGGCATTTTAAAAATCCAGCAGTATTAGCCTAGCAGACACCACTGGAACTGGCAAACAACAACAGCAAGACGTACAATAAATGGACGGAGGATGAGGTGAAGGCAAACACCTTCTCCAGCAACGAAGAAATTGAGATGGGGTGTGAGCCATCGCTGTGAAAGGAAAATAGAAAAAAGTTACACAAGACTGAAGCAGGACTATAAAAAAAACTGAAAAATCACAACAACTGGAACGGTACCCACCATAAAATAAATAATTATTTGGCGATACAAACTCATGACGTTGGCGAGGGGTCCTACTCTGCAGTGGAGACACTGCACAGTGGTCCATTGAGAGGACCAAGTGAGAGAACGGTTCCTGTAGATGTTCCACCCCCTCATTTTACCAGGAACTCCTGCAGTGGGAACGCACAAAAATAACCTGTCTGGTGGTAGAGATAGGGATAAATCTTTTTTTTTCCTATTAGGAGCAAAAACACTTTAAATGTCTTCTTTCTTCAAATCATAATCATTCTGGAATGTCATCAGAGCTATATTGGCCTTTGGTTTCTAAGGATTCTAAACCATACCCTTCCTCCTGAGGCAATTGGCCACAATGCTGTCACTAGGTTATTATTAGATTGTAAACAAACATTCGTAATTTCCCAGTAGCATGAGCGTTTTGAACAGGATGTTTTCCTATTTTGTATTTAGATTTTACTGTGTGAAGAATGTAAGCTATGTATTTTCTTGTATGCATGTTGTAGTTCAAATTCTTTAAAGTCAGAATAGAAAATGAATGAAAACCTGCTATGTTTTGTTTCAGGCAGGAGTAAGGGGGAAACTGGGGCGTCTGCTCGGTGTATTTGAGGTGAGCCAACATGCAAAAACAACACAGTGTAAATAATGTCTTGATTATTTTAAAAAAAATATATATACAAACTCTAATCCACTTTTTGTGTCTGCAGCAAAACCAGGACCGTAAACACCGGACATATGTGTACGTGTTGACGGTTACAGAGACACTTGAAGCCTGGGAGGACAGTGTCAACATAGGTAGGCCTTCCCCACATCCTGCTCGTGTCTTGCAACTGTACATTGTATTTGCGTTTTTGCTTTGGGTCAATCTATTCCAGTGCACCACTTCCTTCTATTCCTGTGAAAGTCCCATTATCAGAGCATTGTGAGTGCACAGAGCTATGTAGTGTGAACAGGCACACATAAATCTGGGCCAGTGATCTTGCAGCTGCAGTCTCCCCTCTCCACGGCAGCAGTTTATTAAAGCTGTCAGTGCTCTACTCCGGTATCCGGGCAAATTTGTCTGAACCCCCCTCTTTATTCTAGTGGAATCTTGTATTATAGCACTAACTCTTAAAACTGGCCCTATAACCACCAACTTGTTCCAATACTGTGCTGCTGGAATGCAGGCTTCTCATGGTGGTCAATATGGATCTGGATTTAAAGTTGGGACAGCACCTCTTGGTCTTGATCTAGGTTCGGTCTTGTTTTCATGTTATTGCATTTGCTTTTGTATGGTTTTCATACGCAATATATTATGTCAACATTCAAAGTTTGGATGACCTAACTTTCTAACCACATAAAAGATCTATGTAATAAAATCCTGATCAGTGTTTTGCTCTCAAAAGAGTTTGGCCTCAGACACATGTTTTAGATAACATTTTTCAGACAGATAATATAGAATCAGCTCTCAGCCTAAAGTGTGATTCACAGGGCTCTTTCTTACAAAATATAACGTTTTCTAATAAAAGGAAGACATCACATTTGATTGCAAATGTTCTTCTTATACATAAATATAAATGTGGGTATTTCAGCTAAAATAATTCACGCACTAAAAATTGGGTTTGAGAATATGGGATTTTTCTTTAAAATTAGGAGGTCTGCAAGGACCTTTTTTAGAAGAGGGTTTCATCTAACAAATAATTATATACAATTTATCTGCCTTTGACTAAACAATGTCTAGAAAATTTGGTAACAGGAAGCCTTCAAACAAGAGACGTGCACAATCCTCACAGGCAACAGCATTGACATGTCCTCTGTCTCCCCCTGCAGGCCGCAAGCGGGAGTGGTTCACTGTGGATGAGGCCATCAAAGTGCTGCAGAACCACAAACCGGTGCACGCTGAGTATCTCCGCAGGCTTCAGCTCAACTGCTCCTCCACCAACGGGAACTCCATACTGCCCAGTCCCCAGGCCAACGACAACTACCCCCACTTCAGCGCCACCACCACCTCCTCCACTGGGGGGGTCCTGGCCTCTTCCCACAGATAGGGCCGCGCCATCCACTTAGGTACCAGGGGGTGAAAAAGTTGACGATGGACCGTGCACCTGTACAGCCTCCTGCATGACGCAAAGACTCATAAGAGACACGTGTAGAACACACTTTTTTGGACAGACCAAACTCAATACCCCTCGAATGGACAGGAGATGGTGCTCATGTTGTCTCTTGTACACATTATTAGTTCGGGATAACGTCATACTGTCGAGCAACGTTTTAGGTGTAACAGCCTGCTGATTTCAAGACAAACTTGAAGGAATGCCTTACAGAACACTTATGTGAATGTTATGTTCAACAAACGCGTGTTATTTTTGCCGAACGAGAAGACAACGCTTCTTCCATCGTGAGAGTACTGACCCAGGAATGTGTTCCTCTTTAGTGTCTTATTCGCAAATTCAAAAAGTCTATTGAAAAATACATTCTGTAGTATTATTTGAACTTAAATGTGCAATTGTTTAACAAGAGCCCAAATGGTTTAACTTGTTTGGATTGGGGACTTATCACAATCAGACAAAGCCTTATTCAAACACCAATATTTATTATTAACCCTTTATGTGCCAAAGTAGCAGCTTGTCTTTCTATACAAGGAAAACCTATACATTTTCCTACATTTTTATTTTATTTTTGCTATTGAATTTTGTTGTCCAGTGTCTCTTGAAGCCTGAATATCTCATTTTCAAACCACATAAAATGGAACTACGGAATAAAAAATATTTAACTAGTTCCTCACTCTCAAAACAGTTAAGTTCAATCACTAGTTTTCACATGCATGTATTTTTTGGCCTTAGTCACATCTTTAGGCCAATCAGTTCTTGGCCCAAAGTGAAGAAAGATGAGTTAGGTACCCCAGCTTCAAGTTTCAGGGCTCCATATTTTATCTGTTTAATTTTCTGTCAAAACTCTGGCACCTAAAGGGTTAACTCATATCATGCAGCAAATGATCATTATTATCTTTTATCTTGCTTAATACGTGATTGAAATAATCAGTTAAATATGTATTTCTTTTGAGTTTTGTTTTATTGTTTGATAAAAAAGGTACAGTGTTGAGCTGTGTGGCTACCTCAGAAACTTGAAAACTGGAAATGTCGCGCTGCTGCGTTGGAATCGTCTGGGCAATGGTTAAAATTCAGCCTGAGCATGCATACGGTGAACTAACCTTGACATAGACCACTTTGGAATCCATTTAGAAGAACACACACACACACACACACAAGAACATAGCTGTCATCGCAGTGTCCTGTGTCGTCACATCTCTTAACGGCACACAAAGTACCAGCCTATAATATTTACAATGTCCCCATCGTAAACCATGGTTTGTCTAAATGAGTTGTGCCCAAACTTACATTTCTTAGAGGCCCGCTTTTGTTTTGTCCACCAGACATTTCAAGGGGCTTTACCACTTTTTTATTTTGGCTGGATTTGTGCTGTTCTAAGCTTTAAAACAAGGGTCTCCAACCTGTGCTATCTTCAGGTAGCTCGCCAAAGGATTTAGTATTTAACAAATGATCTTTAGTGAATACATTTTGAGTCATTACATATCCATAATAAGTAAAAATATCGTGTTATACAGTATCATGGTATGTGTTCTCCATGTTTTGCCGTAATTATTAGATAGATTTGTATTACGACTGCAAAAAGGAGTAGCTCTCTGCCTCTTATTTTGTATAAAAGTGGCTCTCCGGATTGAAAAAGGTTGGAGACCCCTGCTTTGAAAAATAATCTATGACAGGTATATGTTCATTTTGATTTACATTTGGTGAAGCTGTCGGCTGAATTATAAAATGTTTACTTGCTCACTAGCCACATTACGCCAACGTAATTGTTCGCCACAGTCAAAAACAAAGGTTGCTATAGTCAAACAAAGTCAATGGCTGGATTCAAAATATGCTGAGCTCCTATTGCACATGCATATAGTGGCAGAGCTGAAGGTGTCTGGATGTCACTGTGATATCATCTTTGTAATCTCATTGGCTACTGGGTTTAGCAGGACATGGGGCCACATATCATGGCATGAGGGCTGGACTTTGGACATACAGTACCTGATCTAAATGTATTGCATACGTATTCTGGAATCGATGGAGGACACAGGCCACAAGTACCGTACACACATTTCTAAAGGAAAAATTTAGAGGTGCTGACACATAAGACATTTGTTTGACACTATATGGACCTAGAGAATGTCTAAGGCTAATTACGATAAAACAAGTAATATTTTCATTATGAATGTTGATTTAAATATCTATCTTTTTGTTTCCTTATGCTGCTTTTCACCAATCGCTGTAAGAGTTTTAGTTCGTAGTTTCGGCTAAATTCACGTATCTGTTGACAGCTGAATGAGGAGTAAATGGTAAAATTGTATATAGTTTTAGAAGACGGGGAAATGTGTTTTTAACGTTGAATGGCTATGTAAAAATGTATGAAAATATTTTATAATTTTTTAAAAACAATGTACAAATTAATCAAACTATAGCAAGTGATGTAAAGGATTTTTGTGAGAAATGACGTGCCATGGGTTGATTTGAAGGCTGGTTAGGCTCACATTAACTAGATTGTGTGTTTGATTTCAGATGTTGGATTTTGTATACATCCTTTAGGAAACCGGTCAAATTTAATAACAATTGGAGGTTTGCTTAGTGAAGAAAAACAATGGTGTACATATGTCCGGATACAATTGAGAATAAGCCAAAACAATGCATCCTATTTGACGTACAGCGGTAAAGTGATTTCAGTATTTTTATATTTGTAAAAAAATAAATACAACAAAATAACTTTGTGCATCTAAAAATAAATGTGCCAAAAGTGTGAGAAAAGTTGAACTCATGTTACTCACATGTTACTTGCTTACATGATCTCTTCTAATATGGTTGCAGCCATTTATAAAGTATTGTTGAAATGTGTAGATATAGGCTCTTTTATAGCTCACAAAATATATGCAGAAAATACACAATTTGTAGCTGTAAAAAGTTGTAATGGGAAAATAACAATTGAAAATTAAAATACCAGAAAATGACTTACAAATATGTGCCCTAAGGATTGTTGGACAATGTTGAATGTTTTCTGAACCTTGTGTAACATCTTAACCCAAACTTTGGTGAGAACAAAGGGACGGCTTGATTTTTGAAAAGTGGTTTGAATATCTGGAATGTTTTTATGAAGAAAAAGATTAATTAAAAATACTTCTAATAAGATTGCGTTCTTTGTTTCGCACCACACATGAGACTCCAACTACAGCAGTATATGTACTGTATAATACAATCTTTAGGATATCACTCAATTACACCCAAGCTGCAAAAAAAGGCTTGAAATTTTTTTTTAAATATACTACAGAGCTGATTATTTGCTTTTTAAGTTCTAGCATTTCAAAACATGCGGTATGTGTATATGATGCCTAATTGCTAATATACAATACATATATATATTATGTTATATTTATAGATATTTACAGGATAATGGACAAAGAAAAGTGCAAAATGGACATCACACAAAGCTAATTATCTTTGGTAGTTGCAGTGCCAGGTCAGTAGAGGCCTCCAACCTCAAACGTATGCAACAAATGGATAAAACAAAATGTCTCATGCAGATATATTTAGTGTCAGTGTTCTATTTGGCAAAAGGATTGAATCTGCATGAGGGCAGTCAGGAAGTGAATATAACATTACATTCTGGAGACTCTGGAGTTTATACCGAAGAATAATGCTTTTCCTTTTACATTATGACCTAATCTCCCCACAGTCAGCTGAGGGGTCATGCTCCCAGTGGCCTGTATGACCTTAATGCTCTTTTCTGGTGACTTTCCTGCATTCAAACTTACTCTCAAGCAGCACAAAGAGAAGAGAACCTTTGCTTGGCCCACAGCGGGAACCTTTCACATAACTTTACTTCTGAAAATGTGCTACGTAGAAAAAAATACCTCCTCACACACAACTATGCATCTCTATAAAACCGTGTGATAAATGTGCAGCTGCTATGTGTCACCATGAGTTTTCTTGACATAAAGCATGAGAACCCACGCTGATCCATGACATTAACTGTAATGATTGTATCTTGATGGTCATCATAATTTGATCAACTCAATTCACAATGTTTCTGAATCAGCAAAATTGATATTGTAGTATATTCTGATTTTATTCTAACTCTTGTCGTTCTTGCCGTGAAGAACACACACATTCGCCTCATGCGTTAACTGTAATAACAATGTTTAAATATCTGCATGAAGTTAAACATGAATTGATTATGTTTTCATTGAACATCATGAAGAATATATTGTCCATTTAAAAAACATACCTCCACACATACCTTTCACCTATAAAAATAAGTATGCATCTCTATAAATAAGTGTTATTTTTACAACTGCTTTGTTTCACCTTGTTTGGAAAAGAGGAAAAGTTTATGAGTTTGACAAGTTCCAGAGCTAAGACCTTGAGGCATTTTTAAGTTTAGCGTGTGTAGAGTTTGTTGCTTTGCCAACGCAACCCAAAGAGAGCTGAGTCACTCGACATACAATATAAGGAGAGTCTAGATAAGAGGTTCTCAACTAGAGGGCCGTGGGATCATTTGTAGTGAGTGCAGTTGTGCGCGTTTACAGGACAACATATTTTTTAAGATATGCCTCAACTCTACAGCAAAAACCTGGCAACAAGTCTAATTTAATGGGATAAAACAAATAACATATTGATTCGAATTTAAATGTACTTGAAATGATGCCCCGTTGTTTTTATTTTATTTTATTCAATATTATCGAATGTACTTGTCAGGGGGTGCAAAATGGGTGGTGGGTTTTAATATGGTTTTATTTATATTTTATGCATGTTGTTTTTGTGTGTTTTTAACATTGATTTTTAACTTACACCACCTGAAGTCTCCCCACGTGACAATTAGAACACCTGTACCATGGTACAAAAGGAGATGGGGAGGGGGCAGGAGGGACGGTGAGAGAAAGCCAGACACGGCGGGTGAGAGCCCCGTGGTCTGGCGGCCCAGGCCGTGGGGACGTATTTTAGCCTCTGATTTAGCTTTTTAGTCCGTTTTTTATAGCTTAGGGATTTTAATTGCTTTTTATTCTTTTACTTGTTTTTGTTGTTTTTTAATAAATTACTTTTAACTCGCTTTTAATCCAGTGGTCATCTTGTAAACCCGGGTGCGAAGAACCTGCTTTTTAACCTGTGACATACTTATTTCAAAATTGATGTATCTTTTTCCATGATTTCCAGATTCCAGAGTTTTTTGCTCACACTTTTATGTTGTATTGATCAAAGCTTATAAAACAATACATTCAAATAAGTTCACAGCTTTCTGATACATTGTGAAAAAAGGACACCCTCAGAAGCCATGCTACGCTTATAGATTGGGTCCATGGATCTATAATAACATCAGATCGGGTCTAACATAGCCTGGTTGTACCACACCTTGTACTAGAATACTTCACAAACACAGTACACTTTTTAATGCAGGTGTCATTAAACGTATTTGCAAAGTAGAAGCCAATTTGTTATCTGGCTGTGAGCTATGCATGCGGTTCTGGTTCTTGTAAACGGTTTCACACTATTCTAAACAAGTAAAAGGGGTATTGATGTTAACTGTTATGTTTGTGGAAACTGTTCTGGACCTGCGCTCACACCACACACTCTGGAAGGAGGCGAGTACATTCGTTATAGAGCAGGGGTGTCCAAACTTTTTTTTTAATAGGGCCACTTTAGTTTACCAGACTTGTCCAGGGGCCGACAACCTGGGTTGAAAAACTGTTTAGAACTTTAAAACAGCTTTAAAAAGTTTGACGTTGGCTACATTAGCAATTTTGTGCCACAATCAAAAACAAGTAACGAGTGTATACAAAAAAACAAGCTTTACAACAAGATATAACATACACATATTGGTAGAGCTGAAGTTGGCTGTATGACACTGTGAACTGGTGTCTTTGATATTGTGTGTTAGCGAGGCAGAGAACCAGATAATGTGACACAGAGGGCCGCATTTGGCCCACAGGCCTGAGTTTGGACATGCTTGTTATAGACTTAATCTTTATTACGACTTGACTTGTTAATACAAAAATGTAATGTTATATTTTGTATGACAGGGAGATAATACAAAACCTGCCTTTAAATATATAATAAGTAATGATACAAAAAACGCTGTAAAAACTATGATATACTGCATACCATGAATACGTCTTTAAATGTATTTTTAAAACCTCAATCTTGTGTGTTTTGGTGCTCACTGGGGTTCTTTTGCACATTAATTCCAAAGTGTTTTTTTTACTGCAAATGGCAAATAAAGTGAATCTGAATGGCTTTGGTTAAGGTGGCCCTGGAGCCTGTGGTACGTCATCAGTAGCCTTCACCACACGCCTGATACATAGGATACATTATACAGTAGTATTATAAAGCCGTCATAGTCCTGCTCCAGCGGGAGAGAGGCAGCCTACACCCAGGGCAGACACCTGACACCAGGTGCGCCTCTAGCCCCGCCCGCTGCGCGCATAACAAAGCAACACTGGATAAGTTTCCTCAAACAACTCTTATTTTACCGAAACACACACATTTGGACATTGGACTCATTCTAAAGATGGACGAGTCGTTTTTAAAGTCTGCCTTTGTGAGCCAGGAGCCGTTGGTGGCCGCGGAGGACACGACTCTTGCTTTGCCCAACGCTCCGGGCTCCAAACCCGGTGGGAAGGTTCATTCAAACCAGGACAGGAGCCTGCGCGTCCAGCAGCAGGTCCAGCTCACTCTGGCCCGGAAGAGCAGGAAGCAGTCCAATGGTAACAGGCTGTGACCTATATACACTACTATCATGGATCTATTAGAATCGTGATGTAATATAGCCTACACGTACACGCACCACAGCAGTAGTTTGTTCAGTAGAAGTCTGCAGGAGAGCTCGCCCCGTACCCGCTGTGACCGTGTAGCACTCCGGGGAGTCAGACGAATGCGTTGGTTGGTCTCTGGTCTGACAGGTTTCATTGCTTTTATTACAAATCCACCTGAGGCCGCCTGGAGCCGCCACAGCCATGGCCTTCATCATTGAACAGGCTACATTGGATTGATGCATTTTAACATGTGTTATTAGTTTGTTTGTGTATAAAGCATATTACATTGGGTAAGCCTACCCTGTAGTAGGTGTTCTGTATGTTGCTATGCTTCTGCAATTGTGCATTAGCCTAGGTTGATGACCAGGTAATAATATTGCATGTCTGTAAAACAACAATTGGAAAGCTGTACCCACCTCTACTGTATGTTTCATTCACTTCAAATAATAAGGAACTATTTACCCTCAGATTTTCTCTTTTAAAATAATATGTCTTATGTGCCAGGGTTATGATTGACTGAAAACAATCAATGCTATTCTATATTTTGTATGTATTTCATATGACATTTAATTTGATTGAATGTGTTTTTTTATAACCCTTAATCACAACAACAGTTGTCTCAGAAGACTATAAAACATTTTTGATTTCTCAACAACAGATCAGAGAATTAAATAGATTGAACACAAGAAGATAAGATAAGAAAGACTTTATTGATCTCACACTGGATAAATTTACTTGGATAAAATGCAATTATAACAAACACAACAGGCAATCGATCCATGAATCAGGCTGTAGAAGAATGACTGAGGCTGTTCAGGCAGGAGAGGCTCCCAGGAGGGCAGTGCCAGGCACAGGTCCAAACCAGGGGCAACCAGTTCACAAGTGCAGATAAAAGAGGGGCCGGTTCAGGGCTGCCATCATCACGCCATGAAACAGACAATGGGAATTGCTACGGGTGAATAGCAATGAACAGACTACAGCTGAAGTTGTAATCTTATCCTAACATATTTTTATCTGTGTACTTCCCATCAAAGAGACTGCCGGAGTTCATTATACGTCTCACTCAGAAACATTAAATGTGCTAATTATTAGATTTTTTCTCATTCTTCTTCAGGCAGTGTCCACTTACAGAGAAGCACGACCAGTTTTGACCATTCAGACGGACATCTAGCAGCCATGAAGGTAACTGTATGGAATTAAATCTTGGTCACCTTTTCATTGAATATTGTTATACAGCATGGATATAATGAAGTCAGTAATAATAGTGTAGAGGGGAAAACAAACACCATGTTGCAGGTCCTGACTCTGAGTGGGCTTGCATCTGCACAGGATTGTTCTGGAGGAGAGCCCTTCACTGCTTGTTTCCATGGAAATGTTGTTTTATTTGACTAAAATCTACCACAACAAGAAATCTTTTGTGAAGTATAGTTTTGTTTCTTTTTCCGTGGATTATGCAGATGTCATTTCAGAAGTTATTCAAAGTACTATGTTTAAGTTTATGTTAATTAAGAAAAAACCCCTTGTGATGAATCATATCATTTTCAAGGGGGTCCTAAACATAAATACAAACATGTAAACAAACACACATACATACATGCAAAAACAATTTTCAGGAAATTAAAGATGAGAAAAGTTAGATACATTAAACACTAGGGGTGGGAACCTAAGGGTACCTCACGATACGATACGATACACGATACAAAGCTCACGATAACGATTTTATCACGATAACGATAACGATTTTATCACTATATGACGATTACTGATATATTGGTCAGAAATATACAATATGCCAATTTATGGCATAAATAAAAGAAAAAATACTCTTTATTTCATGATAAAGCGAATGGAGATGCGTAATGTAGCCATATATTAAGTATTGATACTAATTCAAAAAAAAAAAAAAGTAAAAAAAAATATATATACATTTTTTTTTTTTTTTTTCCCAAAATCGATATTGATACTTGGCAAATGCATATCGATAATCGAATTGCGGGAGAAAGTATCGATATATCGTCACACCCCTATTAAACACACACAAAAACAAAAACAAAACAAATGCTCCTTCGCACCCTACTCCTCCCCTCTGCTAAAATTAAACATTTAGAAAAAGACAAAGTTAAACTATTAACAATAATGACACAGAATGCAGAAAATTAGTGACATAAACAAGGAGTTTTAAGGAACCTAAATCATTTAAACTTAAATAAACCAAAAGACATGATTGATCATATTTGTGTGGGGAGTTTATTCCAGTCTGATGGAGCCTTGTACTGAAACGATCTGCGTCCAAAACTGTTGGAACAGAAAAGATGAGACAATCAGAGCTTCGGAGTGAAAAAGGTGTAGAGTCAGGGACAAAAAACAGTTTAAAATACTGCGGACAACTAAAATAGTGATGTGTGTGATACGGAGGATAAATCTACAAAGACAGTTAAAAAGTGTATTGAGTGGTTTGAGATCGGAGGGAAATGTGTTTTTGATAAATGACGTCAGCGTAATCGATGATTGGGAGAACCAGTTGTGTAATTATGCGTTTGGGCCCATTGTGGCGTAAGTTCTTTTGATGATGGAGTTGATGTGATGTTTGAAGTTATGCTCAGGGTAAAGCATGATGTCACTTTTGAAAATAAATTAAACATTGAAAAAGTCTAATGGTAGGAAAATGTGCCGCTAGTTCAGGGTGATATGTGTGTTTGTGACTCTGGGACAACGGATGTAAATCATCTTGAGGCTAAATTCTGGTGTTTAGTCAACAACATTTTAACATATAAGGAAATAAAGGGGCTTTTGAAAAAACACACACTTTTGTAGCATTGAAACTGTGTTATCCTTTGGATTTGGGAATCAGAATGTATATGTAAAATATCTGTAAGCATAAACAGTTTTTATCTTTAAGATTCTAAGATTAAGATAAAGATTAAGAGATCCTTTATCCATCCCACAGTGGGGAAATTAAATAATAAAAATAAGTGTAAAATTAATAATAATAAAAAGAAGTGTAAAATTTTACAATTGGCAAAATAAGAGGCAAGTATAAAGTACTGTGTAATCTAGTGCAAGCAATGTGTAATTAATCCTATGTTAGCATCTGTACATGTTAGCAGCAGCATGTTTACACCTGTACATTAGCAGCAGTATGTTTACATCTGTACATTAGCAGCAGTATGTTTACATCTGTACATTAGTAGCATGAGGCTCTGAGACACAGGGACTCAGTAAAGTGACAGTGACATGAGGTTATTGCACATTCTGATATAAGTTAAGGATATTGCAACGATGCATGACACGTGAGATCAAGTTGGCAGTGTTCATTAGTCCTTATTGTTTGTTGTACAGTCTGACAGCAGCAGGAAGGAAAGACCTACGGAACCTCTCCTTCACACAGCGAGGGTGAATTAGTCTGTCACTGAAGCTGCTCTCCAGAGCAGACAGAGTGTCCTGCAGGGGGTGACAGTCATGGTCCAGCATAGATGTTAGTTTGTCCTGGACCCTCCTGTCCCCCACCTGCTGCACTGTGTCCAGGGAACAGCCCAGGACTGAGCTGGACTTCCTGATGACCTTGTCCAGCTTCTTCTTGTAGGGTCAAATGAAATGCCATTGCTGTTAAAAATCACATTGGAATGCAGAGACAATGTTACAAACACACAGAACAAATATCAAAACACATTGAAGTGGATGTCAGTTACTTTTCAAATTGTGAAGAGAGTGAAAGAAAAGCACTGGTGAGAAATGGCCCATGCTCACCTTTGCAGCTTCCTGATTGGTTGAAATTAAGTTAAATCCTTAAAACATTGGTTTAACTTTTCTCATCAAACAAATCTTACTGGTTGAAGTTGTAAAATACTTACTGTACACAAAAGTACAGTCTGCCGTTGTCCAAAATATACATCCATATAAAAATGAAATACAATTGCTGTTGCTGGCATCATCTTTAATAAAAAGTACATAATAAGCAGCTGAGAAAAGTGCTTAAACCATAAAGTGTGTGGCCTGGTGACAGTCTCACAATCTCTGATGCTACAGTACAATTCTCCCCAAAGTGTGAGCTGTCTATCTTAATCGATCAAATCTTTAATGAAGAATACAGCAGTAGTTAAATAAACTTAAATTGTGAAAGTCAGTATTTCAATTCAAATTTAAGAAGGAAGAAAATGTTATATATTTCATGAATGTAAATTGTTAGAGGAGCAGCTGCTGTGGAACATGAAGCCAAGAAAAGTAACAAAATGTTGAACCTGTTTCATATTTGACCCTCAGGTTAACGGCCTTGGTCTGAGTAACCCCTCACTCGCCTTCAAACCGTGCCGCAGGGTGGAGGTAACCCCACCCCCAAGCCCTGGTGCCCACCAGCGCCGCATGTTCGGGTCACACAGAATGGGTCTGTACACCGTCCCGGGACCGGCTCAGCTCTACCAAATCCCATTGGACCGCTCGCTCTCCTCAGATTTCTACCACCGCTACGCCTTTTCAGATGGACCCAGGTTTATGAGGACGCAGAGGTCCAATGCGGGCTCCAGACAGCGGTCCTTCAGACGCGCCGCTTTGCCCCAGCCCGTGTTTGAGGACGAGGTTCTCCACTCAAATGCAGAGCGGAGAAACAGTTCCAGATGGTCCCAGAGACAGATATCAAGCAAGCAGGAGCACCACAGCATGGGGCATGGGCTGAATGTGGTGGTCCCCCCTGAGAGTGGGTCGGCCTGGCTGTCCCGAGTCAGGGGAAGCACCCACGCCCTGCGCAGGCTGAACTCATACCCGCCCTCTGCCACCAGTTTGGAGGTGGACACAACCAGGCATGATGTGAACGTGCCTGTTCAGACGAGCAATGTCACAGCACTGTAAGACTTTAGTATTTGTCAAAGCTACTATCACTGTTTTCACATGCATGTCCCTTAGGCCTCCTTTCATGCAGAGAACCACCCTCAAGCAGCCAATCAGCTGTCAACCCAAAGCATCATTCATTTATGTACTTATTTAGTTGAGACAATGCACATTCATCAACAATGATGCCTTATGCATAAGTGTAAATGCGCTGGTCTTAGCATAACTGCTACATTTCAGCCGTAGTCCCAAGGCAGGTTCCCGGGTATCCTAGACACAAAAGACTTCAATACCTCGCAACGACAAATCATACAATGAACAATTACAAACAGAACACAGACAATATCAAGGCGAAGCAGTCACAGACAAGATAAAACTATTTTTAACCCAGTTAGAAAACAACAGGCCAAAAGCCCAGGCAACAGGCATCAGAATGAGAACAGTATTTAAGCTATATATGGGTACATCTATTTTTAACCAATGTTTGAGATTTTTATATAGTGACTCACAAGGCCCTTTCTGGACAAAATCAATACGATAACATGTCTTCTGTCAAGATAAAGACAGCATGTCGTGGTCTGATTTGTTCACAAATTGTCACTTGTCTTAACGAATAGTATAGTATTCATGAAAAAGAAAAGTGCAGTACCCCAGCTTTAATACTATATGTGCAGCCATATTCAGGACAAATGCAAATGCAGTCTACCACTAAATGCAAAGAATGTGAGCGAGAACGAGAGAGAGCGCGAGAGAGAGAAAGAGAAAACGAGAGAGAGAGAACGCGAGAGAACGAGAGAGAACGAGAGAGAGCGAGCGAGAGAGAGAACGAGAGAGAGAGATTAAGACGAGTCAACATATTAGAGTTAAAATTTCCAACATTGAATATTCTAATTAATATATATGTCAAGCATTGTAAGCAAAATCTATGCCCGTTTTGATAACAGAAGAGAGACAGCTTGCGTGTGTGTGTGTGTGTGTGTGTGTGTGTGTGTGTGTGTGTGTGTTACGGCTGCTATCTTCATTCACAGAGCTGCGGAGAACAGGGCTCCGGAGATGACCATAGAGAGGGCCGTGAGCCTGCTGTCCCAGTCCAACGAGGAAACCCTAGTGTTGGCCGCCAGCTTCATCCAGAACCAGTGCTTCAAGAGCGAAGATGCCAAGAAGATGGTACGTCCAAAAGCAGACAAACTGAACTTACTTAGACTAAAAGATGGTACGTCCTATGGGAATAAAAATGTGTTTAAATGGAGGGAAAGAACCTTGATGTATTAACTGTATACTGAAGTCTTTGCTTAACAGATTTCATGGACCCATTAAGACTCACATTCTTACTTATCTAACGTATCTAACCACTTAAGTTTTCATTTCAATTTGCACTGAATTAATTTGGTTGCCCTTGTGTGGTGAGTGCTGAGTATTAGTGCACAGAAATAACAAAAGGGTTCTGCTTTGAGAAGAGGAGCTCATCAAATATTCATCCACCGCGGCGCAGGTGCACAGTTAAACCCCAAATTAGGACGCCGCTTTGAGACTCACAAGGTTGACAGAGTTGAGAGTTTTTTTTACAAGTTTGTTAATAATTTTCTGTGACAAAGCCAATAATGTTGTTTATAGGTGTTTTCCAAGTTTCCTGGTGGAAGATCTGCTTTTATTACACCTGGCTTTGTTTTCCTAAACTTTCACTACATCTTGTTCTTATATTTATTTCTGTTATTGATTTCAGTAGTCCTCCACCTCTAAAGTTTCAAATTACAGAAAAAGAACTATTATTCAAACTAATATTTGTATTTGATGCTAATCAGCAAATGTAGTTCTATTGTTTTCCCTCTCAACACCACTGTACCTGTGTTTTTGCCAGTTCTTCCAAACGGCAAAATAAAAGTGTATTTTTATTATTGGAACGTCATTGCATATTTAGGTGTTGACATAGACATGACACATTTTTCTTGATGTTCAACCGAATGGTCATTGTGTTGTCATGGCCTGATAATAAGTGACATCATAAATCACATGTATAAATCCTCTCTTATGCAGGTTTACTATCTGCGAGGCATTGGGAAGCTGATGCAGCTGCTGACTCAGGACAGTGAGGAGGTGCAGCATGTGGCGGCCGGAGCCCTGAGGAATCTGGTGTTTCAGAGCAACGAGAACAAGATGGAGGTGAAGGAGAACGGCGGCCTGTCCACGATACTGAAGGCCCTGAAGAGCAGCAGAGATGTGGAGACCAGGAGGCAGCTCACCGGTGGGTCCACAGTCTTTTTTAAATCTTGTTTGTCAAGTTATAATATCTTCTAAGACAAGTAATATAATATAACATAATGTAATATACTGTAAGTATAATATAAGTTTAATGACAATACCAGAGCCACCTAAACATAACTTTATGATGACCACATTGTCAACAGCCAGAGGAAGAAAGATTGCAGTTTGAGAAACATTGCCATCCTTTTGAATACTGGATTTTCTGGTTTATGTGATGCCCCAAAAGACCTTTACTGATCTAAACAAGCGAAGACATGTTAGAGTTCATTCAACTACACAGTTTGAAACGCTTAATTGAACTATTAGTCCTTGAGGATACTACTTTGAACAAGTGTCAATAAACATTAGAGTTTGCCCATTTGGACTTTCTATTTTTGTTTATTCCAAAATGTAGAATATTAAAATGACATTATAATAAGGAATCCAGGTGCATGATTTTGCATTATTCATAGAGTGGACCCAAATTACCTCTGTAGCCACAGCTGCCCTGGGGTATACAGACAGAGAGGGAAGCTCCCAATCAGAGATAATATAGGTGAAGTGTCTTGCCTAAGAACACAACGACAGTGCACAGTGGGACCACAGCCACATTATAAGTCATGTTGCATGTTTCAGGTCTGATGTGGAACCTGTCCTCTCACGACCTCCTGAAGGAGCAGCTGTCAGTGGAGGCTCTCCCGGTGCTGACTGAGTCTGTGCTGGTGCCCTGCTCGGGGCTGTCCGAGGGAGAGAACCCCAAAGATGAGATGCTGGCAGACGCTGACGTCTTTCATAATGCCACGGGCTGTTTACGGTCAGATATTTTATACTGTTATTGGAAAAGTGGGTTTTTCTAGAAATCAAATTTGGTAAATCATTGTTAGAGGCAATTGTTTACCAAAGCAAAAGTATGTTTCAATCACACTCATTTTGAGTTTGGGGCCAAATTCATAAAATGTGAGTGTGGTCGGGGGGAATTTTTTCAGACAATACTTCATTATAAGTGTTTGTGGTTTGTTTGTTTTACATCTCCTCTTTTGTATCTTTCAACATGAGTTGGAACATTCTATTTCTGAATAATATGAGTTCAGTTTGAGGGGACAAGGCCTTATCTCTCAAACTGTGAAATAATGTTTGTTCACTTCCCAAAATTTAGATTGATAAAAGACTCGCCAATCCCCATCTGGGACAGTTACATACATTTGTGACAGAGTCACAGTTAATCTGTGGATTAATCCTGTTGTATGGAGTCTCGTCCTGTTGGACATGTATTTACAGTAAGTGCGTACAGAGCCACAGTTATCAGAGACTGCCTCACAGAGGAACTATATCCATATGAAAACAGTGGGTGGCTGAATTATTCATGCTGTTCTCGCTCCTCTCTGTGCCTCTGTGGGTTAAACCACTCAGCCCTAACAGCCTCCATGTTATCTTATCACCTTCTCCATTTTATTCACCATTCATTCATTGAAATGGTCTAAATCTTGAAAACGCAAATAAATAAGAGACCACAGAATTTTTAAATCTCTGGAGAGGGCCTGAAAATGATCACTTTGTGATTTTCAAATAATGACCATTCAAACTATTCTGAATATGCTGCACTATTCAGTATTTCACCATTCAGACGTGCACTGGACAGTGCTGACTGTTGTGTCGGCCTATTCTCCAAAGGGAAAAGAGGGACTACATCAAAATAGTACTGTAGACATTCTGTCAAAAGATTTTTTACGAAAGTTGTCTCTATATGTTACTGCATAAACTCTGTCTGCAGGAACCTGAGCTCAGCCGGACCAAACGGCAGGAAGGCCATGAGGGAGTGTGAAAACCTCATAGACTCTCTAGTTTACTACATCAGAGTCACCATTGCAGACTACAAAACAGATGACAAGGTGACATTTGTTTTGTTTTTATTCCCTAATTGCCCTAATTTCAATCTTTCCTTCTGGCACACATGCAAAGCTGATAACACATGCTGGAAATATAAAAAAATATTCATGAAACTAACTCGCAATACAATTAAAAGTTGTCATAGTTGAAATAATTCCTCACAAAACAATGTTTATGTTTAATTATACATGATGGTTTCATTTACTAAATGCACCATTGTTTGATAATAACTTGGAACTTTTTTTCAAACCGCTGTCATTTGTGTGTACGCTCAACATGCCACAATGCCATGCTATGGGTACAAAACCATCAAATAGAAATGATTCTTTGCGCTCAGGTTTACCCAACACCCAAAACATGCACCATGGGGAAAACAAATTTGTTTTCACATGCATGTATTTTTTGGACTTGTTACATCTTTAGATAATCTTTTGGACAGAAAAGTGCATAGAGAGACTCCACTCTCACTCAACCAATCAACTCTCAGCCTAAAGCGTCAAATGGTAACTCATAGAGTTAATCCAGGTCAGCATCTTGTGGTCCTAAATGTTTTTATTGTAAAACCTTTTTATTGTACAAAACAACATGTGACAACTTGATAGACAATAATATGACTTTTTTTCTGGTATCAACATAACCTAAAGTGGTATGATGGCACTGCGATTTCAATACCTAAGACCATACTTGCATGTGAAAGCCAGACCCTATTAGACTTGTGAAGCTAAGCAGGACTGGGCCTGGATAGTACATTGATGGGAGACCTCTAGGAACAACATGTTCCTAGAGGTTCAAAAGGTGTTATTAAATCATGCTCTTTTCGTATACATCTTTAACTGATAACAGTAGTTCAGCAGAGATATTTGAATATCAAAATTAGTTTTACGACCTGTAAAAGTTGTTATTGTTTTGATTTTGATGTCCTACCCTCCGCCGTTTCGCCAATCAGGAAGTGTCATGTAAGTCCGTGATCGGGTTGCCAGAACTCCGCGCGGCTCATTAATCTCAGTGGTAAAATAACACGAGGTCTTGTTATGACTCTCAAATAATTAATGACAAAACAAAGACTAAAACAAGGATTTATATCGGGACGCCTTTGAACAATTGAGACAGCTGATAAAAGTTTACGTGTGATGCAAAATTTGCTGCTTTGAATCCGTTCTTCAGAAATGTGCTTACCGTGCGAATCGATGGTCCAGTGGTTATAACTCTGCGCTCTCGATGCAGGAACCCGGGTTTGATTCCGGGCAGAGTCTTTTTATATTTAATTGCATGTTATCACATTCTATGACAGATTGCTCTAAAAACGGTAAAAGACAAAGGTCAAGACGTTTTTTTGCAGATTATAGCTTAATTGTAAAAAGAATCATTTAATACCACATGTACCCCAATTAAAATAATGTTAGTCTCTTTTTGATGTGGGACTTTTGTCTAAAAAATAGGGAATAAATAAAATTGAAAGGTGATATCCTCTGGAGGACATTCTTCCCACTCCTATTTTGGACATCAATTGCTTATTAATTTTGGATAATCTATAATTACATTGCTTTTATTTTGTTTTGTGTTTTTTATCTCAAATGTCCAAATAGAATAAAAAAAATTCATAATTCATTCAACATTAGCACGGCTCTTGGCAATGTGAATGTAGACAGACAAACAACTGATAAAATAATTCCCTGTGTTTGCTGCTGGATTTGGTGTGTATCTGGCAACCTGAGTCAGGGAGAGTGGGAGAGGACTACAAAATATTGACTGTGACTGCAGTACCACTTTTGGCCAGATTTTTACATATTGTTCCTTTAAATGTTCACAACCTTTTACTTTTATAAGACTCATTCTATAACATGTTCATTTACCCCAACTTTAACCTCAACTTCATGTAGACAATAACACTTTTTCTCACTTATTTCAGACGACAGAGAACTGTGTATGCATCCTCCACAACCTGTCCTATCAGATCGAGGAGGAGCTTCCCCAAAAGTACGCAGAGGAACTGCACCAGTCGCGGCTAAGCGTGGCCCCCAAAACCAAATCTGTGGGCTGCTTCCCGACTCGCAGCACAAAGAGCACCAAAGAGGTAAAACCATACGGAGTCATAGGCCGTGGAAGGAGTGGGCTTGCTAAGTGCTGATATCCCCCAGTGTTGGCCGAAGGCAGAAGAAGCCGGTTAGAACTAGCTCAAACAGGGTCCTTGAGTGAAAAACTGGACCCAAATGTATGCAAATTGTGGGTAGCAACAACCAAGCAACCAAAGAGCCAATCAGGAGTGGCACTAGTCTGTTGGCCAGAGTGTCTTTCAGAGCTTCCCAAAAGTTACGTATCAAGATACAGGAGACTTTCAATTTGATATTTCTGAACAATACAATAAGGTTTTAGACCTTTAAGTAACACATTTGAGGAGAAAATATGAAAAAAAAAAACCTGATTTGTACGTATGTATGTCTGAAAAACTGGCACACCCTGCACACTGGTCTTTCCCTGTTCGCGCTGTTCGCTAGTTGAAGCTGAATTTGGGGATCGAAGGCACCAGATTGTTGTAAGGGGTCATATCTGCATTTTAGAAGACAATACAAAAATACAAACAAAAGGATCATAAAGAATGTTAAACCCAAAATTGTGAGCATGACAAAAACGGTTACAGAGCTAGAGGAGTTTACTTTTAAATTTAGGTAAATAGGATCCGGACCACGTAAGAGCAAAAGATCTCCCCATTAGGCTTCTATGCGCTGGGGGTTAGCATTGTCCATACAGTGGAGGCCGACTTCAGTGCCACCATAATAGAAAAAAAAAAACTATTGGTGATTATAAATATATACACATTTTCTGTTTAATTTCAATATCCATATGGATCTGCCTTGCATAAATGTTTGTATACCCTCATCTGTAACTTGCTGTTATAATAATATAACCTGATATTTGATGGCCCCACACATAAGCACAGCCCCTTCACAGTGTAACTCCAGCACACACTGCATTGCACCAGCTTCTCTTTGTGTAGTGTTTTTAAAGTGATATGTTCTCTTCACTTGTTAATGTTCAATTCTTAAATATCTGGTCAACACTACACAGCCTTTTAATAAAACAGTGGGAATCAATCAACTCTTACCTACCTTTGATGAAGAATGAAATAATAATACTTTTGTATTTGCATGTACTGAAGCGGCTGGAGCGAAGCTGCCCCCTGCTGGAGGATAAGGCAAACCCATGTGGAGTGGAGTGGCTGTGGAGCGCTATCACAGTACGCATGTACCTGTCGCTTATCGCCCGCAGTGTGCGTCACAACACACAGGAGGCAGCACTGGGCGCCTTACAGAACATCACAGCTGGACATGGCCATGTAAGACATATGCACCTCAAACATTGAGTCATCATCATCTACTTCAAATGTGTTATTTTTCCTTTCTTATGTGTTTTTTCCCCATCGCATTGCTTCAGTTTATGTTTGCTTGGTCCATTAGATGACCAATGTCCTTAATATTAATGTCCTTAAAAACAGACCTGGACTCTGCTGCCTCTGTATAAAAGATCCTGTCTCAGTCCTGTCATTGAACCACTGTGACAAGTTAAACAGAAAACTTGATGTAAAACAAAAGTAGTGCCAAGAAATTAGTCTTGATAATATCTCAGGTGAAATCATGTTTGTTACAACATTTGGATGAAAAAGAACCTAAAAACCCCAAAACAAACCAATTCTACACCTCCCTCTAGTGGTAGCATGGGTTACAAGAAGAAAGCATTGTTTGGCCTTAACACTTGTTTCACCATATATTGTATTTGATTATTAACAACATCATAACATCATAACTTCTGCAGGTGACTGAAGCCTTGTGTTTCACGATTGTCCAGCGGGAGAATGGCCTCCAGCACATCAAGAGGCCTTTAGAGGAGGGGGACAGTGAAGTGAGGCGCACCACTGTGTCCCTCATTAGAAACCTTTCCCGCCACAGAGAACTTCACCCGGAGATCAGTAAGAGCGTTGAACATTTGTGTTAAAGGAATAGGCCACCGTTTTTCCATACTGACATATGTTCTAACCTCACCTTAGACTAGTTGATATGTACCTGTCTGGTCTTTGTCCGTGCACTCTGTCATGCAAACAGAGCACAAACGCAGCCTCTTCCACATACTGTATAGCAGTGTTTTTCAACCTTTTTTGAGCCAAGGCACACTTTTTTCACTGAAAAAATCTTGCGGCACACCTCCAGGAGAAAATGTAAAAATGTATACAGTACTAATGTAAAAAAATATATACTGTACATACTCTGTGTGATATATAAAGTATATCTTATCTTATAATGTATACAGTATACTCTGTAGCCTATATTCACAATATACAGTTATTCTCATCAAAATGCTTAAGTCCAGGCCTTGAAATTAAGCTTTATTTAATATTTCTCGATACAATTAACAAGAGTTTGGGAATAAAGTGGCACTAACTGTGTGGAAAAAAACTAAGAAAATCCACTCTCTGCCCAAATAGTCAAATAATAACTCACACAAAGAACATGCATTGTTAGTGCATGGGAAACATTTTGGTATCCGAGCTTTAAATTCAGGAGTTTTGGATGAGGGACACGGGAGGTCCTGAACGCGAGTCCATGGTTCTGTCCGGTCCGCATGTCTGTGGTTCTGTCCACTCGACTATGGTCTGCGCTCGGTACCCAGTTCAGAAGTGCGTTCGCGAGAGCTGTTGTACAAAAATCGTACATTTCATAGTTAAACCACTACAACGCGGCCACAGCTGCCCCGGGGCAGAGCGGAGGATGTTAATCCTGTTCAGAAACGGCATAATTCATTTTCAAAAACGTCTCTATCACTTTCACTTCTCACTCGCCACAAAGCTCTTGTCTCGCTCCCTCCCACATTTGTTGGTCGCATCCAATTTTACCTTTCTCGCCACAATGCTGACCTGTTACAGCCAGTGGTCGCATCCAATTTTTCAGTTTCAAAGTACTTAGCTATCTGCTGCCATCTACTGATTTGAAAAAGTATTACATGGTTACTCACAGTTCAAAACAAGTCACCGCTCGTCAACAACGAATGCAGCTATTTTTAGACAAAGTAGACGAATTTCTCACGGCACACCAGACAATATCATACGGCACACTAGTGTGCCGCGGCACAGTGGTTGAAAAACACTGCTGTATAGTACCAAATCAGCTCCCGTTAGAAACTACCAAACTCTTCCACGTGTTCCCTATTTAAATACAGTTACGTGACGTGTTACTCTACATTAAGTATAGTAACAAAAAATGTAACATGTCAATTTTCTCAGCGGATAAAAAGGGGTACTATATTGTGAGGCGTAATAATACGAGGAGCACTACGTCCGCGCACTAACTCCTAAAGACGTAAAAACGGTGGCCTATTCCTTTAATACAATGTGACTATTTGGATTATAAAGATCAGTAATAATTGGCATGTATGTTGCAGTCACCCACGTGTTGGCTGAGGTCGTCTCCATGTTGCCTAATAATGACCGGGGCACAGACCAGCCCTCAGAGGTGACCGCCTGTCTCTGCCACATCCTGCTGAACCTGAGCCACAACCACACGGACAGTGTAAGGGCCGCGGTCAACCTGGGGGCCCTACCCAAAATTATCAACATTAGCAGCAAAGACAATGGGTATGGAATCTATTGCATTAAATATATTATGTGGGATCATCACAGCATACCCTTGATCATCAAGCCTCCTGATGCACTGACAGTGTTAAAAAAAGATTAATATAAATCGCATATAAATTGCATACCTTATCTTATAGTATTGTTTTGGAATTTTTTGTTGCAAGTTATGGTCCGAGTCGAGCTGGCCAGGCCGCATGTGTCCTATTACGCTCGATGTGGAAGCACACTGATCTACACAGCCTCTACAAAAAGGTATGTTGTAAGATGAACTGTGAAATGACCCCCTCGAAAATGAGATGGTTCATCTCAAGGGGCTTATCCTCTAAATAAATAAATAAATGTGTGTTCTTAACAACCAAATGACTCATAAAAGAGCAACTGTATTTGTTTTGGTAAAATTTAAATTTTAAATGTTCTAGTTATGACTTAATAGATTTGGTATAAACCAATGTATTCCATATACCAGTATATAATGTATATACAGTAGACAACAAAAGCATGTATTACACAGACGAGGGGAAAGGAGGCTCCTAAATTATTGCAAACTACTGTATCAAAAGTTAGTTAGATTTGAAGTGCACATATTCTGAATGACCACCTGTGACACATACAGATTGCAGAATGTATCTTTAATGCATAATATGTTCATCCTGTATAGTGTGGATTTAGAAAAGCTGATTTCATCAACTCAAGGACGACGAAGACAGTGAACTCTATACGAGACTAAACTTGGATCCCACAACTGATTTTTGTTGCCTCTGTGGCAGTAGAAAGACTGTCTCTATTGTCACTGTCTATCTTTGTTCTCCCAACCCAATTTAAAAAGTGGAATACTAGAACTAGTCTGCATGTGCGAATCAGTGTGTTCAACACAGGGTTATTTGACCTGGATATTAAAAAGCACTTGTAATATGATTATATTACTGATTAGTGTAATCATATAACTTATCCAACACTGGAAGAAACATTCAAATAAATATAAAACACATCCTTGTTATGTCTGAACTTGTTCTAGTTAAAATATAATACACTGTTTTCACTGATATTTAAAGAACAAAGCAAATATGTGAGATAATTATGCACTGACAGAAGAATGTAAAGCAATATTTATGTTTTTGTTTTGGCAGCTTATGAAAATTGTTGTACTTTGTGTTAATTTAAATAGAACCACAAAAACTGTTTTGTAAAAAAAGATATTGTTATTTGAATAAACAAATATAAACTTATAGACTGCAGTGGTTCGGATTTTAAGTTTTGTTTTTCATTTTAAAACCGTACAATTGTTTGAACTGGTTTTATCTTGTTGTCTAAAATACAAAATGGTTCTAACAATTGAACACATTACACATTTACACCCTACTTTTAAACCACTGTCTGTATTTTCTACTTCAAAGAAGAAAGTGAACCCAATGGATTCTTTGTTCTTAGCCATGTTTAGTTAATTATATCATTGTGGTAAGACAGGCTTCTACAGTGAATTAGTTAACCAATTGTGGTTAGACATGCTTCTAAGTTATATAATTAGTTATGGGTATCCATGCTTCTGAGTAATGTAAATAATTGTGGTAATCTATGCTTCTACAGTAAGTTATTTAATTCATTGTGCTTAGCCATGCTTCTACAGTAAGTTATTTAATTCACAGTGGTTAGCCATGCTTCTACAGTAAGTTATTTAATTCACAGTGGTTAGCCATGCTTCTACAGTAAGTTATTTAATTCACAGTGGTTAGCCATGCTATATATTCAGCTTTTCCCATTTTCAACACTTTGACAGCATTATCGTGGATTGTATGTCAATTATTTAACGTCTTTACTTTTACTTAGGGGATTATTTTAAGTATTAAGTCCCTTTTAACAGAGAAGATTTTTCAATAAACATTTAAGTTTACTCAAAGTCGTAAAACAAGTACTTTTACTTTTAAGTCACAGGACAGAACAACGATTTCCCTCCAAACTGTAATGTAAGTCTGTATAATAAATCTAAAGTTAGAATGAATGTGTGTTCATAATATCCATGGGCTTTCTTACCAGTGTCTGCCCTACATATCTGGAGAGAAAACACATGGGAAAGTCAGCTGTAAACACTGCTGTGGACATATTAGCCTGGACTTGCTGAAATTCCTCCACACCGAGGCCCTTCCCCGGCTGGCTGTTTACCTTCTGTGGGATTTGTGAACGATGACGCATTGGGCACGAGGAGGAGTGTCTGTATTTCCATGTACAGACACTGGTCTCAAAGGTTGAAGTGATTGCTGGGAAGTCTATTGTCACAGTAATAGCGTCGTTTAAGTTTGCTGGGTTTGTCTGCAGTTCAAAATGAGGCTCGCTGTTGGACTCTGTGGACTCATTTTTGTCTTTTTATTCAGCCAAACTGAGCAGGCCAAGGTAAACATAAGATATTTGTTATTGCTCATAATTTTTTCTTATTTCTAACCACAGCCTATAAAACATGCAAATATGTGTTATCATTGTAGTAACAGTGCACCGTGTGTGTGTGTGGGAAGGGGGGTCTATTCTGTTGGAAAATAATAAATAATTTGGGTTGGATTGTTCCTATGGCATTGAACTTGTCTATCTAAAGTCTAACTATACCTCATCAAAAACATTTACTGCCATATCCGTCACATAATTTGGGCAAAACGACATACTTAAAGTTAAAACATAATTGATGAATCCCTCACCACAGTGTTATTTCAAAATGCCAGTAAAAAAGAAATCATCTAAATTCAGATCAATATTTAAAATCCACATATTTGAGTACAACAAGTGAAAAAACATAAAAGCAGACTAGCTAATAGGTCACATTCATGTTATAGAATTCTACTTCAGTTGGAGGGCAGGTGTGCCAATACAAAAATGTAGCAAAGAAGATATTTTTGAGAGAAATGTTGGAATGTTGTTGCATTTTCGATGGCCAACATCATGTATGTGTTATTGTTTCTAGACAGCTTTACGAGAACATAATTAGACCATATATGACATGTACAGTACTGACAAAGAAGATGTGGAACTACGGGAGAGTTTTTGATTATTGTGAATTTGCACAGGAATATTTCAAAGTTCGGTCTAAACCAAAACTAGACGTCTGAATTTTGACAGATACCATAGTTACCAGGAATAATTTCTCAGTGGCTCTTTGGGATGGTTTGATGTCACATGAACAAAACCTATTATCAGATGTAACCACTGTATGAGCTCAGATGTAGTAATCGTTTAACACTGCATGCACAGCCCTAAATGACACAGTGCAACAGATGACAACATATTTGAACCAGAACTTTCCATAACAACTAATCTGTGGCTTTTTTCTTTTGTAAGAAGGACACAGTTTCTAAAGGTACTTTTCTCATTATTTTGCTTGTTTCTTGATGAACAAAGACATTCAAATGATCAATTTTAGGCAAATACTATGCCAATCTAACACTTTAACCTGTTCTTCTTCCAAAGTAACAGACTGCAGTGATGTAAAGAGAACAAATCCTCAGGCATCCAGCGGTGTTTTTGGGATCCAACCAAATGGGGTCAAAGCACCATTTAAGGTAATATAAAAAGAAAATCAAATAACACAGACTCCTACATAAATGAAATAACAGACAACTGCAGTGTCAGTTGAGGGTATTCAACAGTGTAGGTATTACAAACATAAGTGACTTTTGGAGAGCTCAAAAGAATCGGGACAATTTGATTGCCCTGATGTGAGGTATTCAACTATCGGCCCATCTCAAATCTTTCCATTTATAGGAACAGTCCTTGAAAAAAATGTCTTTTAACAACTAATTCTTTCTGATTGGACCAGTGTATGTGAACTTTTTGAAAAAAAGGTTTACACATTTACGTTTCTGTGGCTTGGGAAGTCTCAGGCTCAACTCTGCAGCTGCCAGCAGCTGTATACAATGAAATAAGAAATCAGTTTAAATTCACCAGGCTAAAGTTTAAAGGCTCTGCATAAACTGCATGGATTCTAAGTTGGATAATCCTCATTCCAATAGGTAAACATAATTGACCAACTCTAAACAGTTGCTTCTATAAAGTTCTTACCAACGTGTTTGGAGTCCGTTTGTTGTCTTCCCATTTAAACTACTGCAGTATTAACATTACCAGGTACATTTCAAACATATGATTCTCCAGTGTCACCAATGATCTGAACCTGAACGGAGTTAATTTATTGGACTTGAAGGGACTATGCAGTGCTTTGCTAGCACTGGCAGAGAGCTGCTGATCTTCATTGGGGAAGGAATACTTTGAGGTTCGTGCAATCCCTCCGTCACATCCTCCAATATGGAAGCAGAGGCTGAAGATCTGAAATGAATGCTTCCATTTCACTTTCTGAAGTCACTGAGGTTGTTGGTAGCCTCTTCAGCTTCCAGGAGTGGATGAGATCCGTACTGACTATTGTAGGTCTCTGGATGTTGTTGGACAGTCTTGACAGGTCTCTGGATCAGGGACAGTGCCAATGGAGTGGCAGACCGAGGTGGTTCCTACCTTTAAAAGGGAGCCTAGAGGATTTGGACCTATTGTGACTGGACCAGCTCTATACGCTCCATCGGATGCTCAAGGGATCATGGGAGTTCGCCAAACTGTGCTTTGTGGATCTGGAGAAGGCGCTCAACAGTGTTCCCTGGCATGTAAGTTCAGGGTCCTTTGCTGTAGGCCGTCCAGTCACTGAATGAACAGAGTCAGAGCTCCGTTGGCATTGCTGGCAGTAAGTCAGACCTGTTCCCGGTGCATGTTGGCCTCCGCCATGGCTACCCTTGGCAGCCAGTTCTGTCACTATTTTTTGGACAGAAATTCTAGGTGCAAACAGGGAGTCTGGTCTTGAGACCACAGGATTTCATCTCTGCTGTCTGCAGACGATGTTGTACTGTTGGCTCCAACGAACCAGGACCGCCAGCCTGCACTGGGACGGTTTGCAACGAGTGTGAAGCGGCTGGGATGAGAATCTCCAAATCCGAGGCAGTGTGAAACCAGAAATAGGTGCATTCCCCTCTCCAGGTGGGTGTAGAGGTCCTTGCTCTCCGTCCACCAAATGACCGAGTTCAAGTACACACACACCCATATACACACCAAGTGTTTTTACCCACTTGAGTTGTTCAAAAGAGTAACTCTTCGTACAGAGATACACATTGATTTTAAAGCACCATTACACTTTTGATGGACAACCGAGAAGAAGCATTAACCAACTTTGGGTCATACTGCCACCCAGAGTAAATGAGAATTGTGTTGATGTCCCAATATTTACAAACTTGAGTATACAGTATCAACTTGTCTTTTGTAGGTCTACTGTGAGATGCGCTCTGATGGAGGATGGACAGTTTTCCAAAGACGCAGAGGACCAACGCTGAAGTTTGACAGAGTTTGGGCTGCCTACAAGAAAGGTTTTGGGAACCCCACACGTACGTACTACTTCCTTCATACTGAGTGGCTTTGGTTAAACAGACTTCCATCCAAGGCCAAAAATATGGAGTTGTACAGTATGTGCGCATGTTTGGGACCCTCTATGTGTCAGCTGATTGGTCTTGTAATGATGATGTAAAGATGTAAAGTTCTTGTAATGGTGATTCACAGAGGACCACTGGCTTGGACTCAGAAAGATTTTTGCGTTGTCAAAAAACAAGACCAAAAAATGGAAGCTGAGAGTGGATTTATGGGACCATGAAGGAAACACGGCATTTGCAGAGTACAGTCATTTCAAACTGGGAAATGACAAGTCAGGCTTCAAGCTACATGTTAAAAAGTACAACGGCACAGCAGGTACTGATTACTGTTGATTTTGAACTGTGTAAATTGCACTTCCAAAATGTTCCCCATTTATGTTTATCAACTAATCTACAGGCAGTATGCATTTAGAATACTTGTCTAGGATATTGATCCACAAGAGACATTAATTGGACTCAGTAGCACGAACACGTCCAATTAAAATAACTACAACTTTTCAAAGTTAAAAGCAGAGACTAGAAATAGACAGTAATATGTCATTAAGGTATATATACAAATAGCGTTTTATTTTATTCTGGTGATTTTCAAATATATTACCAGAATCCAAAGGAATGTGATAATTGACCATGCAATTTAGGCCCAATATTATATACAATGTAGGTAAACACAATTGTCCTCATTTTTGAAACTTCCATCGAAAAGGGGACGTGGGATTTATGAACGTGTGAGATACACCCAGATCCGAGCGTAAGCACCTGCCACTGTTGACAAATGTGGTGGCTGAAAACAAACGTATTTATGAGAGTCTCTGAAAATAAATATTCAAAAACCGCCTGTTTCATACCCTTTTTTTGCGACCTACCTATGAGGGGAAGATGGGCAGGGAAAAAAACACATGGAGCAGGAAATAGAGATCATTATGAATGAAGTGGAAAAAAAATAAAATCATACTATTTTTGAAGCCTCAAAAGTTGCATCAAGAGGGCTCAATAAACAAAATATGAAAACAGATGACAACATCTGTAAACAGCGTGGGGCCTGTAACACTCTTGAAGAGGTTAAAATGAAACAAACAGTTGACAGATATATTGGGCCAACAGTTAGAATTTAAGGAGCGACCTTAAAATGGCAACAAAAAGGCGTATAGCTGCAAATAAAAGAAGTGCTCAGCAGCCCAGGGGAGGACCGCCAGACCAAAGCATCCAAAATTAAACAAAATCATTTTCAAGCTATTCATGTGATTATTATTTTTAAATGGTTGAATGAGAGCGTGTCTGAGCTGTTCAGGCCGAACTTAGTGCAGGCGGTGCTGGCCATGGTCTCTCATCCATGGGCTGCGCCATCGCATCCAATGGCACACCGTGGTCCTGTGCCTGTTGTGGAGAACCGAGCCAGGATAATATGGCACTGTTGTACCGGGAGGTATACCAGAGCGTAGCCCCCGCATGTCCCAGAGCCATCGCCCTCTGATCAGACCCGCTCAGCGCTCCACGGTGGCGCGCATCTTTGCTTGGACCTGCATGAATGAATTGCCATTGGTTGTTCAGCACTTTGAGTTGCCTTGTGTATGAATTGTGCTATACAAATAAACTTGCCTTGCCTTGCCTTGCCTTGTAGGTGATCAAGCTTAGGTGCTACCAGTGGGGGCGGGTCCCGGCTCAAAAAACCTCCAAAATTACGTGTGCTAATAGGCTTGCAAAAACACCCCGGATCGATGGGGGTAGACTAGCATTGGCTAATAAGTTTTAGTGGGAATATTTTATTGTTGTCCAAATCTTGAATTTCATTCGTGTTGTGAAAAAGGTTGACACTTCCAGGTTGATAAAAAAATGTCTGTACGCCTCATTTTCACCCTGATTTTGCCGCACGCAAGTCTCATAAATGAGGGCCAATATTAATATATTTGAAAGTGTAGTCGTAACAAGTTAAAATACTGGACACAGAATTTAAAACTATTGTAAACTTAATATATGATTTCATCAGTAGTAAAAACGGATTTAATGAGGGATAAAAAAGTATACATGAAAGTTCAATCTTATTGGTTGGCAGAGACATGGGAATTGCGCTGTGCATTAAAGCATCTTGTTCTTTTTGAAATGAATATTAATCAATTCTCTCTCCATCAGGTGACGCCATTCGTGGAGTGTACAAAGGAATTGATCAGAATGGCTTTGGTTTCAGCACCATAGACAGGGACAATGATGGATGTCGCCCTTGCATCTTTGGGGACATAGCCCAGGAGGAGTGTGCTGCTTCAGAAGGAGGAGGCTGGTGGTTTAGTCGATGTGGGTCAGCCAGTCTTCATGGTGACTATCACCCAGCGGGAGACCACATCGGTTGGGCATCGGGTCTACATTGGGACAGCTGGAAAACCGGTGCTCCTTACTCTCTGAAGGCAACCAGAATGATGATAAAGCCATTGGAGTAGAGGCAGTTCCTTCTATTACATTCAGCAGAGGGCAGCATAGTATGGCACTGTTCATGGTGTACAAAACAAAGCACTCCAAAATAAAGTTGAAAAGACATATCTCAGTTATCTACTTTACGTACAATTCTATTGGTGCTGCGTTTTGCCAAAGGGTTCATACTCAAAGAGCTTTTTTCTGTTGCGTCACGGTCACAAACATTAACATGTTTTATTTGCCTGATGATTGATGGATGGTCATGTAACGACCCAGTAGTCAAACAATATATTTCTGTACAGCCTAGAATCCAAAAACAGTGATCGCTTAGAAGGGCTTCAAAGGGTTGGCGATACGCCAACAGCAGATTAGAAAACAAAACAATTAGAACTGATAAGGACTCCAGAACTACTTTGAAAAAGAGATTATTAATCTCAATGGGACTTTCCTGGTTAAATATAGATTAAATAAAAACAAATACAAGATAAGAAATGCAACCATGACATGCATTTGTGCATGAAATAATGGGTTATCCAATATCCATAAAAGTCCCAGATCCTCCCCTACACATGAGTCAACTCAGGTCTTAGAGGACAACAAAAACATTGTTAGTCACTTTCTCGACACTTTATTGGACTGGAATGATTTTTAGACGTTTTATGTTTGTTATACTTTACTTATATTCGTTACTGCTAAAATGTATATTTTATTTTGTACAATTTACTTGTCACATATTTGTACAAAACCAAACAAAAGTTTATACTAGGGCTGGGCGATAAAACGATAATGATATATATTGCGATAGGCACGTGTTCGATATCAATAGAAAACAGGGTCGATAGAACTTCAATAGTTTCACTTCAGTCAGTTCGAAAAAAACAGGAACAAAACAAAGGAAGTAACGCCGAGTCAGAAGCACATGGCATTCTGGGGTATGTAGGCAAAGGCTTCTCGACCTATCACAGCCGACTACAACCGCAAAACTATTTGGCAAAAGCAAAGAAACAACCGCACCATGCGTAGCGTTCATGGATCATGGATCTACACTGCAAAAATTAAAATCTAACTGAGGGAAGGAATCTTAATTTAAGCAAAAATATCTGGTTTTTTATCTGCCAAGCTATTTCTTCTTACAAAACCGTTTTTGTGTAAGAGCATTTCACTTATTTTAAGAAGTATTTATCTTAATAATCTTAATGGGCTCTATGCACACACCACTTCCGTGTTTTGGCTACAACCCCACTTCACTTCCTGTTCGCGGGAAATGGCTTGAGTTTCACTGGAGTTCAGCAGTGGTTTACACGAGTTTCCCAAATAATGCTCAAACGGGAATTAAACTGTGAGGATACTGCGCATTTTTGTGACACAGCAGTGCTCTTTGATTGTGCCGTCATTGTATTTTTAAAAAAGTTTACAAAGTGTAAAGTGGCCACAGTCAAAGCTTTACCTCAGAGAGAAAGCACAGCGACACTTTTGGGTCAGTCTCACAGCTGAATGTATCAATCTAATGAATAAAAAACGTCACTAAAACCCACCTAAAAGCCAGATAGCATAGGCAGGAAGTGAAAGAGCTGTGCTTTGTTAACAGGAAATGACATCACGCCTCCCCTTGCATATAGCCTATAAGGATTTATAACTTGTTATTGAGATTTTATTGCTGATTATGAGCAGTTTCTTGCTTATATTGAGAATTACCGTATCACAGGGACGCTTAGAAGTATGAAACTGCTTGGTCCAAGTTAACATTTTGTATTTCAAGCATTAATTGCTTATTATTTTTAAGATGAAAAAGTTCAATAACGAGTGAACCCATTTTGCTCAATGATTCATTGCAAACACCAAAACAATCTGATATTGAAATATTTTGCAACAATTTAGGGTCAAGCATTTGAAACTACTGTGCAGTTCCATAATATCCTCAATATAGTATTTAATTTGTACATTGGCTGCTGTTTGTGTAATAAGATCCCAATTGATCGTCGTCACAGGTGGAGAGAAGTTTTGCTCCATGATGCCAGAGTTGGCTGGAAGTTGATCGGGTTGAATCTTGTAACACATAGAAAGTAAATATTATCTGAAATTGGATTTAGTTTTATCAAAGTTATTTCATTTAAGTTTATCCATCATTTTCATGGGGCTTAATGTTATGCAAGACAAGAGTTTGTTCATGTTCCAACTGTGGTCTGATATAAAGGAGTACACTTTGAAAATATATTTTGAAGGGCGCGCGAGGTGGATCAAGGCTTTCCCAGATAAGCGCCCCCTGCAGGCTACCCAAATAAAACGCAGCAATTTCTTCTGTTTATTTTTATTTATTCATTTTTTCAAAAATGCCTGTAATCAAGAAATCTTTTGAAAAATATTATTAACTACTCCTTTAAAATGGAGTGTACCCCTCCCAATTAAGACCGTGTACAACAAAACAGACACGATTTACATGGTTTTCAATGGGAGCAAAACTGAGTTGTCCCACCTCTGCTCATTCGCCCCCTACTGGCCAGTTTAATGAAACCCAAGAATATTGTAGGTGAGGCCTTTGTCAAGATTTTTTATATGTAGAAAATAAATATAGAATTAGATGTGAATTTAAATGTAATGCTATATTATTTTTACTTGTATAGTATTTGTCCCATTTCTACATTACTTAAGCATACGATCAACATTTACAACATCTGAAATATTTTGGCACCCCCTTTTATGAAATGGTAGCTTCCTTGTCATAGCGGGAATAAAGCACACAGCATAACGCTCAGTCTCGGACCTGGAGTTGGAAGATGGAGAATTCAGCAAATTGTTGTACGCCATGGACGCAGAAACGGATAATGTAGCAGCTGATATACTAAGAGGTATGTATGTTTATTTATATCCAGACTTGTTCTCAGAAAGTTTAACATTTATTTGAACTGGCCTGGTGTAACCGTTCAACACTTATCGTGAACATGCTAATAAAACTAGCTAGCAAGAAAATATGCACCTAAATGTCCACTGTAAACTGCTAATAAGGACACAAGCGGTACTATTTGACGTTATTAATTGTTTTAAAATGCCATAAACAGTGTTATTGGGCAAATGAAACATTTTATTCCCTTTTGATTATGGACATCTGTTTAGCTTAGAGCTAACGTTAGCGTTAGCTTAGAGCTCTGGCGCCCTTTCATGAGCGCCATTTCTAAACTTTCAAATTTCAAATGTAGTGTCACCAAAATTGTAGAGAGGGTGCCACACAGACAGTTTTATGATCAAATGTGAGATTGTATCTAATTTTCAGAAAAATGCCAAAAAAATTGACCAGAACATGCAGAGAATTTTGGTTGTCCTTTATTGGCCCAGTTAACCTGGAAGTTCAGTTCTCAACGTTGATTGTTGCTATGTTTAATTATTTTTTGGTTTTTCTAGCACCAGAAACTTCAGACAACCTACAGAATCAGGCAAGACATTATAAAATCAAGGCCAGGCCAAACAGGATGTTGCCCAGCTCCTTAACCTTGACAACGTGATAAAGGAGCAGGACAGGCTTGTCAAGATCCTTGAGGCGTATTCCTGCTTTGGAGTTTTGGACCATGTAAGCAAATGTAGACATTTTATAGAGAGCACAGTTTTATCGAGTTTTCAAGAAAATCATGAGGCCTCCACTGTTGGGCAAAGGTTAATACAGAATATAACAATTGGGATAATATATGATATATTATACATAACATAACAGAAATATTAATGTTTGTTTAATTGCTGACTGCAGAAAAACCAACTTTTTTTTGTAACAGCAAAGCAGTCAATTGCACTGGTGAAGGCGTTGCCAAACTTATTCCCAACACCTGTGGGTCCACCCAAGAAGTTGGGAAATGAAAGTGAGGCTTTGCTTCACATCCTTGAGGTAAGAAAACGTAAAGCCATATGGATTTTTAAATAATTTAACCATTCATTCGAAAAGATATTTTTCTTTTTGTGTGTGTCAGCCTTCAGACTAGGGTTTAATCCCGGGACACGGGATTCCAGGGAAATCTGATCAAAACTATTTCCCGATTCCCGGGAAATGTTATGACGGGAAACGGGAAATGAAAGTTTAAAAAAAAAATCCAGTGTGCTCCTATTATAGAGCCCGTTTACTGTTGTTCAAAGTTCAAACATATTTCATTTACAATCAACATGTCTACAGTTGAGAGGATGGCTCATAAATTGTGTTTTTGACAACAAATATGGGTCTTAATCGCGCTAAACCATGACTTGTGGCCAGCCTCAGGGTACGGGGCACATGTGAGCCCAGAATTTGGCTACGTCCAATTCTATCAGAAAGCTCCTTTCTTTTTTCCATCTGCTAAGGGCAGCAACAGGTTTGGCTAACATACATATAACACATTTTAAGATAATATAAAATGCATTTAGGGTAATGTTCTGCTTCCAATGACGATAGGAATGATAAGGAAGAGAGGAGAAGGGTAAGAAGGTTGATATTAGAAATTGGATGCGCCCGAGAGTCGGCTGCAGCGAAAACACAGAGGAGTTTATGGAGGTGGCCACCGTTTTGTTTTACGCTTTAAAACTCTTTGGGCCTATTTCCAAATGGGGGATTACATATCTGCGCTCAAACTATTATCTGGACTTAAACATGAAACTGGTCTGAACCGAAGTGGTCTGTGCTGTTCATTAATAACTAAGGTAAGACCCATAACACAATTGGAAATGTGCCTTTTACGAACTTTTGCGTTTTATATAAACAAACAAAGCGGGCCATGGAAAACATTAACTAATTGTGAATAAGCCGCTTTGTAGGTTCTGTTGATTTATATGATATATGTTCATCTGACAGGGCTGAAGTCAGTGCCTTCAAACCACACCGCACGTCACTGGTCGACAAGTGGATTGCGCAGACATTTAGAATCTCATAATAGTGAAATTCCTGAAGAAAGCCCATCAACAAAACGTCTGAAAACGCTATGGCTACTTTAGCAAAGCTAGCAAGTCGCTTGATGAAACACTAGTGGAGATGGCAGCTTTTGTTGGATTATATATTTGAGTGATATCATAGATTACTTGGGCTAAAAACAACAACTACAAACAACAGCTATTTCCCGGGAAAGGCGTCATCTTTTCCCGGGATTTGATACGTCTCATTTTCGGGAAAAATATTAAACCCTACTTCAGACGACCCCAACACCTTTCTAAAAGCAAGAACACTCTCCAGCCCGATCGTAGTTGTCAGTTAAACCAACTGCATACTGGCTATTGGGTCCATGCCTGTGTTGACTTTCCAAAAAGAGGATACTGATGCCAGCGTAATGTATTTTCTTTTATTTTTTTCTTTTGCCTTAAATGTTGTTTTTTAGATGGCTCTTGTAGTTGTGCTGTGTTTGAGTGTGTTAACAAAGTAATCTAACGAGTTTTTACATAGATTACCATTTCCAGTCACAGTACAGTCAGTAAAGGAAAAAACTATTTGGTTTTACCTAGCTTTAGTTGCATCAGACAGCAGTAACTGGAAACGGGTAGCTATAGTGCTACACTCTGCCCCCAGAGTGAAGAGCTGTAGTTGACTGTCTGCTAGCTGCTGATTGTAGTAACGCTTGGTAAAACCAAATGTTTTTGGGGGCTTTCGTACTAGAGCTGCAACTAACGATTATTTTGTAATCGATTAATCTATCGATTATTTTTACGATTAATCGAGTAATCGCTTGGCTGTGAATTGTGTAGAAAAAAATGATTTTTTCATCACATAAAGCTAAAGTGGCAACGCTCGAGGACGTATTGATTGCGTAAACTTAAAGTAAATGTTTGTAACAGGCTCTTTGAGCTAATTCTGCTATCTGATTGGATGAGACAGACAGATATTCATGATATTATAAAAACAAAGTCGGTTTTAATCAAAAATACTAAATTTTCATGTCATTTTTGCTCTGTTTGAGTCCGTGTGAACCAGAAAACGATTAATCGATTACTAAAATAGTTGTCGACTATTTCAATAATCGATTAGTCGTTGATTAATCGATTAGTTGTTTCAGCCCTATTTCGTACCAATAGTAGTCTGTAACAAAACAGAGAACTATATGAAAACTCATTAGATTTTTACTGTAATAGTATACATTCAGGATTTTACTTTCTACTTTAGAGAAAATGTTGATGAAAAGCAATAAAGACATTGTTTTTCAGGTAGTTTACAGTGGCATTGGATACTAAATTGAGTGCTTGTTTACTAGAATAAATAAATCTTAAATTGCTCTTATTATCAAGGCAAATATATCAGTTATCAGTGCATGTTACCTAACATAGACCTTGATAATATCCGAATACAAGCATATTTTCCCATATATCAAGAAAATTATTCTTGAATTTTGTTTACTTGTCAAGACAAATGCACTTGTTTTAAGTGTGGCTATACTGACTTTAAGGTATATTTACTTAAATGAAACCTTATTTGAAGATGATAGCACTAGCATATGCTGATTTTAAGCACATAGTCCAACATATTGAGCAAATAATGCTTAAATATTTTCCTTAAAACAATCCAAATTTACTTGTTTTTAGTCTAAATACACTAGTTTTAAGAAATCCCTGGGTTTTTCCGGCTAGATAAATTCACTTGTTTTTTAAAATCTTGTCAAGTCAAATCTTCCTGTTCTATTGGCAGATAATTTTGCTCATTTTAAGTAATATATTGTTCAATATATTACTTATTTTTCTTATTTTTTAAAGATGACTTTTTGCAGTGTATCATAATAGCCATGGATCTAAAGATCGTGTTTCCGTGCCGTGTCAATGGTTAAACACGTCCGAGCGAGGAACAGCATGTGCGGCGGGAGAGGCAGTGGGTACAGAGACTTGATGCATTCGGCAAAAGCAAGAGATTAACTTTTTCCGGAGCCGCCACGGGGACACAAGAAACTTGAAAACAGCCAAAACAGGAGCTAAACCAGGATTAAACCAGGACTAAAGTGGGGGAGACTGTTTGTGAACATTTGGCTCCAGCCTCATTCCCCCGTGACTGTAAACAAGGCTGCTAACATGTGTTAGCCGACACAACAAAGGTATTTATTTACGTTTAAAAAAAAATCAATATATATCGTTATCGACCGATATGAATTACTTATATTGTGATATAGTTTTCAGCCATATCGCCCAGCCCTAGTTTATTCTAAATTGTTCAAACCTTTTATGTTTTTATCATTTTACATTCCTATATGGTGTAATTGAATAAATAAGTTTATTAAAATCAATACATTTGCAAATCAAATCGGCACCAAGTAACTGCCAAAAGTCACGTGAGAAGCCATAAGTTCTGATTGTGAAAACACATATTTGCATATTTTTTCTATATCTGAAACTTTTTGTAAATTTCGTCTTACAGTTAATGCAGGAAGCGCTGTCACACAAGATTTAGACAAGACACTAGTGACGCAGGGGTCTGACATGTTTTAAAATGACAAGACTAGAGCTTTTCTGCCTGCATTTGTAGACAGTTTCTCTAACAGTTGATTGATGAATATTCTTTCGATTCAGACTTTCAAAGATTCAGAACCAACAATTCTTGATCGTAGGTCTTCAGACAGCTTGTTTGCATGAGGCATGGTGCACAGCAATGCTTCTCATCAGGATACAATTCTTGGACAGATCCATGGGTTGGACACACACCTGACTTACATATTTTAGAAAAAAAAAAAAACAGTTTTGGTCATTGTACCAAAACTCCCCTTAGTCAGAATGTCCAGTTAATGATGCATTCCCCTTCATGTTATTGTTTGGTATAGGTTTAATGAAGATAACAAGCATACAACTTATAAATGTTTAGATAGTTTTAGTTTGAGCAGATGCTGTTTTTTCATGTGTGCGACTTTGAAAAAGATAGAACCACATTTGATGTTAGAGATTACAGATTAAATTAACATGGAGCATGACCTAATAAGAGGGAGAGCTGCAGAAGCGGGGCCTCTATTTGTCTTCCTCTCCCCTGTCACATCTAGGACATAGATTTGACTGTCCCTATTGTAGCACTGTGTAATATTATTACATGCGATAATAGTTGCATTAAATTTTATTTTATAACCACTGTTTTATTGTTCATCATTTTGGATACTGTGTGTTTTGAAATGCAATGCTTGGTTCCGCCAGCAGAGGGCGCTTGGTGCTTTCGCTAGTGGTTGCTGCCGGGGCAACGCTAGAAGTCGTTACTTACGTGAAGACACAGCACCAAGCAAGCTCCTGTATTTAATGTCTGTTTTACGTGTTTTGCAGGTAGGCTGGTTTGTTAAAAACACACAGATGATGGCTAACAGTGGTGACATGTATTGTGTACAGCTTTGAGTGCCTTTGATTGAGCTAAAGGGGCAAAAGGGAAACTTTGGGGTGATTGTATCAGTTGGGGTGATTGTATCAGTTGGGGTTGTCGCGAGTCAACAGTTGATAGTGTAACCGTTGGTAGTCGCGAGACAACGGTCACAAAAGTATCTGAAACTATTTTTTGTAAGAATTGTATATTTGAGAGTGTTTAAAGATGGCTGAATGTTAAAATTTTTCTAAAGAGTCCAACAGAATTTAGAGTTTATTTCAAATAAAACATGGGTCCTTTGTCAAGTTGAGATAGGTGGACTTGCATGACAAAGTGATGGGGCAGAGCGTATTCTCCACACAATGTGACTTCGTACTTGTAATGACATATTTGTAAGCTGGGGAATATTAGAACAGTATCTATAATTAATAATTGTTCTGCCCTCGATAAACTTAATCTAGGCAGACAGATAACCGGAACAATGACGACACCGGTGTTTGCTTTTCCAGGCTTTTATCATTGTAAGAATGGTAAAACTGCAACAAATAAAAAAACAGCCTCAAGTTGTGCATTCAAACAAAATACAATACAACATATAACACTGTCAAGGTGCCTCTGAAAAATACGAGGCCAATGCTAATGCTAACAGCACCACATTAGCGGCGCTAGCATACTGCGCTAGCATTCGGGGCTAGCATTTGGAACTAATTA